TCTTGCCAGAAATTCCCAACACTTGAACTTTGCCAATTAGAGTTCATGTTAGTAAATAGATTAGGAACATCAGACATTAGAGGTTGATCTTGCCACGAATTCCCAACACTTGAACTTTGCCAATTAGAGTTCATGTTATGAAATAGATTAGAAATTTCCCTTGAGACATTTTGAGGCATCAACAAATTTAAAGATTCACTCTGTTGGGAATTTCCCATTGTAGTGAAGAAAGTCATAGATTCACTTTTCTGGTTAGACCCCAAACAATCTCTATATTGTATCAGATCCATCTCAACTGTCAGAGTAGTAAATCAAACGGGTAAATGTTATTAAAAATAAAAATATTTATAGTGAAATTTTCAAATAAAAAAAAAGAGGTTGCAAAGAAAAACAAAATCCAAAGTGCTTATAATTTTGAAATTGAAAATTAGGAAAATCACAAAAACTATATAGCATACCATCATGTGCATGTTGCAGCTGAAAAGGGGAATTCGGTGATTGGAAGCCAGTGTTTAGATTTCTTGACCCTCCATAAACACAGTAGTTAGGCAACACGTTCATATCAGTGAATGAACTAAATGACGGAAACTCATTAGGCATAGAAACAGCCTCCTGAAGAAAAGTAGGGTGAGACATGTCTCTGTTTAATAAGCCATATTTATTGTTGTCAATTGAGCAGGGTACTTGTTGACTGTATTTTGTTCCTTGCAACTTATCTAGTTGAGTTAGCAATCTTTGTATCAATGTCTCCTGGTTCATGTACTCATCCTGCCAAATATTTGAAATTAAAATATCAATAAATGGAACTGGTGCTTAACCAATAGTATTTGTACAAAACCTGTATTTGATCCTCCTTTTGGTTTAATTAACAAATTAAAACTCACATTTTTAGACACATAATTATATCAGAATCAAACCTCTGATGAAGCATCAACAAAAAGCCCGTCTTCCAGAATAGTAGCAAGATCACATGGCTGTTGCATTTGCTCATAATGAATGCTGGAATTCAAAATTCGAGCACTAAAGAAAAATTTAGTCAGTCTCAAATAAATGACAATTGACAAGCATAAGTTCTTTTCACAGAAAATAATTTGGGAACCCAAAAAAAGGATTTACAGAATATATTCGGTTCTTCCATGTTTCCCTTATGTTGATTCTTTTTTTATATGAATTTATTTTCTACACATTATAACTTGCATGCACCTCCAAAATAAAAAATAACACTACAAGTGAAAAAGTTAATGCACAAACATATGACTTACGTTGTATTTCTAATCACACCACGACAATAGTTGATACTAGGTCGCTCACGCCAACTTGTCATGAATCTCATTTGGTTTCTTACAAATTCTTGGCTTCAATTCTCTCTCAAATGTAGACCTAAGCCTAGCTTACAGAGTCTGCAGATCTTTGGCCCTTGAAAAGAAAAAACAAAATGAAGTGAGTGTGATCATCTCTCAAATGTATTGAAGGGTTATGCAAGTAAGATTATCGTATAGTCTAGAGGAAACAAAATTTGGGAACATATTAATTCAGAAATAGTACTTGAAAGCTGAAAAGAATAAAAATGATTACAAGTTTTGAATATAATTTATCTTTAGATCTAAGGAAGATGAAAATATATTGTCATAGATTGTAAGTATAACTTTCCCCTAATTAATAATACATCTACAATTTAGTTAGAAGCGTTTTTACATTGGCAAAGAATTAAAGGGTGGGCGAAGCCTAGTGGGATAAACATTATTTCATTGGATACACGGCAGCAAATGGATACACACGCACACACTCTCTCTCTTGTCTATAAAAGGAGATTAGGAGAAGCTAATGGCATTCTTATCCCACACTTTATGTGATTCCCTAATTTCCATGCAATAATATCTGTTTCCTATTTCACTCATCAAAAGACTCTGTTTTTTGTAATCCAAAACCCATTTTTGCTCTGTTACCTTCTCTCTCATTCATACCCTTCTCTACAAAATTAAAAAAAAAAAATCACGCCAAAACTTCAGAGCTCAACGTCAACAATTCTTCATGGTCTCTCTCTCTTTGGGTTTGTGTACAATTATCCCATCCTAATCTGTAATTATTTTTCTTCTGGTTTGCAGGCAAGTGAAACTGGGGTCAAATATGAAGAGGTATAATTAACACACATCTCTTAAGTGTTTATGGCAACTTTTCTTATTCAAATTCAAAGGAAAAAAAAAACAGAATCTGAACGATTTTTATTTTGCAGGAATTCGTTTTGAATTCACGAGGCATGAAGCTTTTGGCAAGCCGATGGCTATCGGTGAATTAGAGAAGCTTCTCTTTTCATTGGAATTAATATAATGAAAATCTAAGCCGTCCCAATACTATGTCATCAACAAACAAAAAAGGGAACACGATATATGATTCAGCAACAATATAACATGACCCAAGAAAGTTGAAGGAAATAAGTTATATTTTAATATTATAATATAACATGACCCAAGAAAGACCAAAAGAAAGAGAGAGGTAAATAAATAAATATATAAAAAATGTTTGATTAATGAAACCGGGCAAGATTGAATCAGCGAGTGACTTACCGTGGTTTCCAAGGAAAGAGTTTTGTTCATAATGCGAGCCCTTCAATAGAAAAAAGAAAACAAAATGTATTGTAAACAGACTGAATGAGAGACTCCAAGAATGGAGGACCGGAAGAAAGGGTGTAAATAGGTTTAGGTTAAGCTAGATTTTGACTTAAATAGGTGAGGCTTATGTAAAAAATATTAGGTATGGTCTGACCTATTAGCCTGTATAGGCCCCAAATTACAAGTCTGGCTTGACCTGTATTTAAAAAATAAAAGCCTAGGCCTGTTAGCATGTTTAAGCCTATTAAACATTCAACAATTAAAAGAATAACTAAAATAATATTAAAAGAATAACTAAAATAATATTATTTTATTATTCAAAATTATTAAAATAATAATTTTTATTTATTATATTTTAAATAAATGATATGATATAGGCCGGTCTGTAGGCTTATAGGCCTAACATGTACAAAAAAGTCTATGACCTATTTTCTAAATAGATTGTTTTAAAAGCCTAGGCCTGTTTTGTTTTAATATTTATAATAAGGCAAGTCTGACCTAATATACGTTAGGCCGTAAGCCCCTGTAAGCTGGCTCAGACCATTTACACCCCTAACCAGAAGCAATATTTAACTGATAAGATTTATTGGGCCATATTAATTAATTAATTATGATCCAATAAATCTTAACTGTTTGATGCACGAAAATCAATAGTTAAGATATATAATGTAAGAGTGTAAGACTTGTTATTCTTACACCTTGTAAGTTGATCAATTATTCTTACACCGTGTAGGTTCGTCATATCCCTATTTATAATGAGAATAGTTTTGTAAATTATAATATTTCTAAATTATAAATGAGTTATTTAAGCATTATTTTAAGTTTTAAATCACGGTTTGAATAGAAGGATAATTTTTTTTGTCAAATCATATATATTAATTATTTGAACAGCACAAAATCAATCATTGTGAAAAAACAAAATCCATACCTGAATAAAAAAATTTATTCAAATTTTTTTATTAGAAAAATATAATATAAAATTATTAATATAATGAATCACTTGTATTCAAACTTATATTAAAAGTAAAAAAAATTTGTTTACAAAAAAAGAGAGTAAAAAAAGTTATCTCGAATCACTTGTATTCAAACTTACAAATCTATTATCTTTAGCTATTTACCAAAGGCCATCAATACGAATAGAATTCAAAATCTGGAATAAATGGATTACTTGAAAGAATTTGTTCGATCCGGGTGTTCACTCGATGGGTGATGATTGATATTGGATCTGTATGCTCATAGGTATTTTTAAGGAAGATACTGTAAGGGTGTATGGATCAATGTGCACCTAACTGATTCGGCATTAGCCAAGGCGTTGTGTGCATAATGATAGCGGGAATAAAAGGAGCCAAAAATGTGTATCTGATGGTGATGACCGCTATTTATAATGGGTTATCTGGTAGGGCATCCGTTTAGTTTGTTATGAAGTCCTAACCTATTGTTGGTGACTTGAGTTCCTCTATCCATCACTTTTAGTAAGCTTATCCATTTGTTAGGTCGTTGGGATACGGTAATATTCGTGAGATTTGTTGTATGTACCACAATTGCTTTCTCATCTAAAGTGGCTAACTTCAAGAGGCCAAGCCCCCATCTCAGTTATGAGTTATGATGAACTGAAATATGAAAATAGTCACTAGCATCAAAGGGAACCCCATTCAGGGTCAGCGAGTAAATTAACGCAAGGGTCATATGAAGCTCATGGACTATAGTCGCTTGCAAGGGTGTGATGGTTGCAAATTATCTCAGAATTTGCCATTATTCTCACCACCATATCGTGTGGGCTTTAGGTCTGTCAATGAACCGCTAGCTAAAAGTCTAAAACCCAAGCAAATATTGGTTTTAAAAAAAATTCAAACCCATCCTACATTTTCTTCTTTATACTGTAGAGGGTAGAGTTGAGAAATAGGATTGAATTTTTTACGTAAATAATTTTTTTAAACTTAATTTGAAACAAACCAACATCATAATCTAATAGTAAAATAAAACTTGGAAAATCATAAATAATAAAAAAAGTATATTGAAAATTAAAAATTAAAAATAAATTATTTTAGGAAAAAATCCAGACTGAAACTCCAGCAAGAAATTGACTTGGTCCAAATATACGAGCAATTTTTTTATAGCTCAATCAAACACGCACCCCTGCATTTTCCTCATCCAAAATTGCCAATAAGCTACGGGATTTTTTACTAATGAAAAAAAAGTATCAATTTAATTTAATTTTTAAAAGATATTATAAATTAATGCAATCAATCCCGCACACAATCTCATATTATACTAGCGACAGTTTTTATGAGAAATGAGAATCAGACCAAGTTATTTCCTTCAACAAAGCAAAATGAACTCGAGAGAACCAACAAGGCACAAATTCATATTGGACGCAGACAACCTTGCTACTAAAATCAAAATTCTTGATTTATCTGTAGACCATGTAATTACATTTATCATTAAATATTTCAATACTGAAGGAGGAGAAGGATGAAGATTGGCCCCAAAGAATCTTGGACAACGTAGAAACCGGTGAAAGAAAGAATGGAATTGTGCCTGATGTGTGAGGATCTCTATACTTACCCTTGGTACCATCATGAATCAAAAAATAATTTCCAGTGAGTTTGTCTAAGTGATGAAGTGAATGCTTTAGCACCTACAATTATATTATTAGCACAACCTAGGTGAGTACTGATTTTAGATTTTTTTAAGGTGTGTACTACAAAGTACAAACAACGGCCGCGGTCTAACATATAAGTATGCAGAATATCAGTTGACATCAGATTCTATATTAACTTATTTCAGCAACTGACATTCGGGTAGAAATCCTCCCCTGCAGGCAGATTTAGATCAGGCAGCAAGAATGAAGATTCTTGGTTACTACTATCTTTTTGGTTGGAAGAAGCATTTGCTGCACAGATAAGTGGTTCATCATCAAGAACCTTATCTTTGACTGTTTGCGGTGAAACTAATACAGATGGATGAGAGTGTGCCTCCACAATTTCAGGTGGTTCAAAGACAGTTTTATCGGACACCATAGAGTTTGTAACTATTTTAAACGTCCGTCTTGACCCCAAATCAAGCTGTTACAAGAGGTCAAGGCATAATTAGATTCTACTACATCATATAACTATATATATATATAATCATTCAATTCAAATACTAAGGAGAGGTATCAAACTTTGGAGTGTTGCAGAGAGTTAGACAGCACTACTTAATTTTAGACGAGTCAACTAGGAAAATAACAGGTCTTAAAAAAAGGTAGAACAAGAAGGTCACCTTCATTCTCTTTAAGCTTTCATTTCTGGCTCTTTGTTTCTCAAAAGCGAGATGCAAGGATGCCAGTTCCTGTTTTCAAAATTTCAAAACAAAAACGAACAATATGAAATATATCTCCAAGCAAGGAAGGCCTATAGTTAATACATGCGTGAAAGCCAAAAATATTTAATAACACTAGTACAAATCATACGTTTTTCAAATTTCTCCTTTCTTTCAACAACAACCTCTCCTCCTCTTGTAGTTCAGCTAGAGTCTGCAAATAGGACAGAAGTTAAAAGCATTAAGATATTGAAAACGTAACCAAAAACACAACACAACCTCACATGAACGCACATACACAGACAAGAAGAAAACCCATAAGTATGATGAAATCATTTTCATTGTTAAATGCAACGTCGGGCAACAACTGAAACAAAGGCTGTACAAATAGATTAACTAGTCATGATGCAGTTTTGTTTGCTGATAATATTATAACTCACTCCTTCCTGCACTTTCATTACTTGCACTGAGAATTAGCAACTCTAAAAATATAGACATCCATAGAAAAATTTGCATTTACCCTCTTTTTCCTTGACTTTTTGGCAGTTGCAGTTTCACTTCGATCACCAACCTGCAAGATGTCAAATAAAACAGAGTTTAGACATTCATCACACTAAACTCCACTACTAAGAAAATATGGACAGAAAAAACGTGAGATATGATGCTTGGATCTCTTCTCTCGGTTGAACACCAATATGTCTTTGAACTTGAGTACAAATTTTTTTCTAGGGACAGAGTTGACCTATATCTTGGCTAGAAACAAGCAATAAATAAAACAGTAATATTGCTTTGAGAACATTGATGATTACCATTTTATGAGAAATTAAAATCAGACACAACACTAAGAATTAGTTCATCTTTTACTCCTTTAACCAAGACTAATTAGAGATAGAATTATAAACAATATTTACAAATAAGAGCCAAATAAAGAGATGATCCTTGGCTCCTTGCATTAGCATTACTCTGAAGTTAAAAACATAAAAGGAAAAGGGGAAGACCAAACAAGTTGAAATTTCAGCCAACTTCATAACTTCACCTGAGCTCTGAAGGCTATGGATGTTAAAACATAGGGTGAGAGTAAATCCTATCATGAAAAAATCGTGAATTATTTTCGTTAAAATTTCACTATCACCTGATCTAAAAAATTTATATCTATCTCTTCTAAAAAAATTTAATCAAACCCCATCTATTTAAAACTAATAAAAAAAGGATTTGATGTTTATGTTACAAGAGATAAAATTATCGCCTACACACATAAAAGTATGTGAAGTCATGTGAAAAGAAAAAAAAAAAAAAAATATGAATTCCACACATATTTTTTTATGTGTATGTAAGAGATAATTTTATCTCATACTATAACACGAGAGACATTAAACTCGTAAAAATATAAGGACAAAATGTTCACGTAATTGAAAAATGAGAGGAACTATTCCAGACTTACGTACTCAACATAAATTATAAACGAAACAATACCTAGTAGTAAAAGCTCTTATCTGTCTGCAGAGCACGGTACTACATGTACCATATTCTATCGTAAAGTCCTATGACTCATATCGACATTACTCTGCAATATTCCGTACCATCACGTAAATCCCACTAGCCTCTTAAGATGCCATCATTTCTAAAATAAATACATCACCAATTCTACGGGCACGAACTCCTAGGTGTTAGTGATAAATTAAATGCTCTTCAAATGTACTAATGAAAAAACTATAATAATAGAGTAATACTTCTTCATTTAAGATGAGATAAATTTTTTTTCCTACACTAACAAAAAATGTGGAGCCCACAAGTTAAAGAAAAATAAAAAAGAAAAGAATTTGCAGACACGTCTTTTTATCTCTATGTGAGATGAGATAGTTATCTATTGGAAAAAACAATTTCCCATAATAATAATCACCTTTTCTTTTATAATTCTCGAAGCTATTTTTCTTATTAGATAATATCTTATTTTGACTTCCATAAAAAATTAAAACTAATTTTTTATTAATAAAAGTAACATTAAATTTCATTCAATAATTAAAAAGTTAAAAAATAAACATACATTTTATTAATAAAAAATAATATAAAATTTCATTGAATATATTATTATCATCTTTCTTATATAGTAGGAACAATAGTAATGGTAATTCTAATGCTTGAAACACAACCAAAAAAAAAAAAAACTCTCTGATGGCCCAATATCAATTAAAACGTGTCCGAGAGGAATTGTTTAAGACTTACACGCACCAATAATTAACGGGCTAGCTTAAGTAGCTCCGTGTCATTAATTTGGGGACAACGTTTTACCCATTTGGGAGCTACCAAATAGTCTCTATCCATAGCACCCTTTTTTCTCCAACTACATTTTCCTTTTTAGGTGGTTTGGTAATCCTTCATTACTAAGGACAAAAAAAAAAAAAAAAAAAAAAAAGTAAAAGTAAAGCCACTTCGTATCTTTTCCTTAAACCATCTTGGTTTCAATCGGGAAATAAAATATAACAAAAATATTTGACCAAATATTCTCACTTTTTTGGGACCCTACTATTTATTGTTAAGCATAAAAAGACCACCTTCTCCTTTGGAATTAACAATGCCAACTCAAATCTTGTACAAACCCACTCTTGCCATCAAGCTGTCAAGCAGACGCCACAACAGATATTCTTCATCCGAATTAGAAAAATAATAATTACCATTAGTAAATTAAATAATTATTTTATTTTTAATTATTCATTAATTATTCAAGGTACTAATGAATGAATGAAACTAGACGAAAATAGATGAGAAATTGAGAATGCACCCGCACGCATCCCTAACACCAAAAAAAGTACACAATTACACCACCATAGTACACGCCACCAGAAAAAGCAGGTTAGGAGGCACATGAAATTACGGAATTGCCCCTGACAGTCTTTCGCCGTTCACGGCTTTTGTGTTGTGAATGTAACAGTTAAGACAGATGTAGCCATAAAAAGTCTTACATTAATTACTTTTATATTATTTCTCTTTTAAATAATAAAAAATAACAAACAATCATTTCAATAATATATATATAGATGAGTCAGATCCTTAATATTAATATTGATTAATATTAATATTGATGTCAAATTTAAAGTTTGATACCTCATGTAAGACTCGTCGTATCAAGAAAGATCAACAGCTCATGGCCGTCAAATTTCAAATTTGACAAATTTAACACTGATGTCAAAGAATCCTACCTCTCTCTATATATATATATAGATTAACTTTTTCTTCCGAAACTGGTTAATAAATATTATTTTCGATTCGGTTAATAATAAGTGTAAAAAACCTAAAAAGGAAAGGAATATTTTGTTGAGAGAAGAAAGTGGCCTCGCGAGAAGGGCGTTTTCGGTATAATATAAGCGGCGAGCGAAAAAAGCGCGACAAGAGTTGCAAGTTGAATCTTAGCAAATGGATTGGAACCGTCCACGGCGGCTCCGGAGATCCGAGACGACGGAGAGGAACCACCGATCCGACGAGTGGAATGACGGAGCTCGCCCGGGGGTAAAAGTGTAAATATACCCCAAAGGGTAATTTCGTCCAATCCGAAGAAAAAACTCAAAACTGTCAGAGTCAGAGACTACAAAGAATCAGAAAAGGAGAGTTTCCTACTGGGCGTTCAACCGAGGCACGCGTGAGACACGTTAATGTAACAGACGCCGGTAACCGGAAGAGGAAAAAAAACCGAACCGGAAAAAATTAAACCGGGATTAAAAAAAAAAGGGAGGAAGCGAACCGAACCTTAGATCTTGAGCTATCGACCGGTTTGGTTGGGCGGCTGGAATCTTCAAATCCGCCGTCACGTGCGTCGGCGCTTGCTGACGTGGCGGCGCTCCAGGAGAGCGGCGTGGTAGGGCTGGCCCTGGCGGATTCCGTTTTCTTGTCGGCGAGAGAGCGGCGCCGTGAGCGGCGCTGACGGACGGTCCAGTGGACGTTGAGAGAGGGAGAGGCGGTGGGTTTGTTTGGTTGGTGGAGACGGAGGAGAAGGTTGGCGACAAGAGAGTCGTCAACCATGGCCATCTTGACCCAGTGGTCGTGGTCGCAGTCACACATCAAGAGAGAGAAGGTGAAGGTGAAGAATGAGTGGGGTGTGATGGCGAAGAAGAAGAAGAAGAAGAAGGAGAGAAGAATCTTGTGTTGTGTGTTGGAATGTTAAATTTTGACGAAGATGAAAAAAATTAGAAGGAGTGGAAGGAAGGTTTATTATATATATATTGTGAATTGTTTGTGAATGTGAATGGTCTTTGTTGTTGACAAACCTAGGGCGTGTTATCGCTCCCTGGCCCCATTTTTTTGTTTTTACGTGGCAATCCTCAACTCTTTCTTCTTTTTCTTTTCTTTTTCAATGGCCATAAAGAAAATATAGAAAGTAACTAAAATAAAAAAACGATTACTCCACTCGTTGGACCTACTTTCTGTTATATGTACGGGTTATGTAGTTATTATGATTTATGACCTCAATTTTGTTTCCGAAAGTCTATTTGGATTTTATTTTTATACATTGTGAATTTACTGAATTTAAGTTTGGCATTTGGTTGATTAATAGGTTTTTTACTAAAGAAAAACATCAAAAAATTATTAATCTGAATTATTTTTCAAAAAATATTTTAAATTAATGCAGTGAATCCATACTTTAATTGTAGAGAACAAGCCTCACACTACTTAACATTAGTGAGAAAGAAAGTCTTAATTCGCACATTAATTGTACGAGACAAGTCTTACGTGTTAATCATGCAAAGTTTAATATAAGCGCGAAAGAAAGTCTCACACATTAATTGTGAAAACCCTTTAAATTTTTCTCATTAATGGATTATTTGTAAAATTTGAGTGAATCACATTAAAAATAATTGTCTTTCTTTTGATAAATTTCCGAGATATAAATTTTTTTAAAAAAAAATTCAATCCCTGATAATAAAAATTAGTTTTACGATAATTTTATATGCTATAATATTACATAGGTAAACATTTTAATTTGCAGACGCAGTTAAACAATTTTTCCTGAAGCATGAAAATCCATGTTATCTATACTTGTCTTATAAGATGTCCATAACTTCTTGGTTTATGATTGAGAGTGGTAAGCTAGAATAAAAGTAAAATGTTTTGACCATAATTTTTTATCTGAATAAAAAAATTCTTAAAAAAAAACATAATTCACGTGGTATAAAATTTTAAAAAATATAGATCATGATTGTCTCATTTAAGTATATGATGTGTGAATTATTTATCTAGTAAGTTTTTTTCTTGCTTTGATTATAAGAATTTGTTAAAAAAATTCTCTCAATAAATTTAATCGTAATTTATTAAAACACAAAATCAACTCATATAAACACACCTTAATTAGCAGTGTGAAAATAAGGAGTGATTGTTAGTTTTACACTTAATAATGGGCTATCGTGAAGAAAAAAGCTTATTAGATAAAAACAATAAATGTTCTGATTTTCAAATAAGGTAACTTTTTTGAGTGCCAAATAATTTGACTTATTACACCGTGTACGTGATTAAGGCATATTATAACTCACACAAACTTCAAATATTTTAAATGTAATTCAGTTACTGTTTAATAATTTATTCAAAATTAAGAAATGCATGAGTTAAATAAATTCAAGCTAGTAAATCATATCATACAATGAGTCATGTCAGAGTGCCAAATATTATTAAATTTTTGCCAACTAATTATTGATAATTTTTTTTTGAAAAAAACATTTTTTCCTCTCTAATAGACAATGAGAAATTAATCTCTACTTTGGTCTCTGTTCTTAAGTGCACTGGCAGAGTCTAAATGTACAATTGCTCTTGCTTTACTTATCAGCTTAAAGATTCTAATATAGAGTATCAGTAACTTTGTAAGAGATAAGTATCACTCTTTAGAAGGATGAATTTTGTGAGAAAGAAGGAGAAAGATAAACTTCTAGATGAATATTTTAAGGGATTTGTATTTTTCATTTAATATGACATAACAAAGTTTTTTACACACACAATATTTTGTGAGGCCCACACTTTTTGAAGAAAAAAGAAAAAGAAAAAACTACGGCACGCAAAACGAATCTCTATAACATTACACAATCATTTTTCCTACATAACTCTTATAAAACCCATATTTTAAATAGAGTAAATACCTTTTTTGGTCCTTATCAAATTTTACGATACCCGCTTTAGTCCCTAGCAAATAAAAAGGCCCATCGTGGTTCCTAAAAAATTCAAAATAGACCCATTTTAGTCCTTTTAGGGACTAATATGGGTCTTTTTTGAATTTGTGAGGGACCACAATTTCAACTAAATGAGTCCATTTTGAATTTTTTAGGGACCACAATGAGCCTTTTTATTTGCTAGGGACTAAAATGGGTGTCGTGAAATTTACTGAGGACCAAAAAGAGTATTTACTCTTTTAAATATCAAGTGTTCAACCTTTTGCATTTACACATGAGATGCCTTACATAATGGATGATGAAATACAGTGTGTGTGTGTGATAAATCTCCATAATGAGGGTAAGATAAAAATAGTGTTCAATTCTGAAATCATGTGATAGGATCATACACATAACTGAGATTACTATTTTTTTTCTTAGGTTAATAAATAAAACATAAGCCTGTGGGCCAGGAACATATCCATTAAAGTGTTTGACAGCGAGGTCACAAGGAACTACCATTAAAATGAAAATCTTGTATTTACAAAAAAAAAAAAAAAATGAAAATCTTGAAGTTGTAAGTAAAATTTGTCTATATGAAACTCATTTTAAAAATTCTACTCTCACACCTGACATACCCCTCTTGTGCTGAGTAACAGCAGTTTCAGGTTTCACAAGTACAATTCACATGATCTGTAAGCGTTCTAATAAGCTATACATTTAAAAAAAAAAAACTTATACATATGAGAGAAATATCAAATAATATTTTGTTATACCTATTTGCGGAGGGTAAGCACGGTCTACAGTAAGATTTTTATTATTATTTATGTTTATGTGATAAATGTATTTTTAATGCTTACATCATTAACATGTATACTTAAACAAAATAATTATTTATTTTAATATTAGTTTAATAAGAATCAAACATGAGCCATAAAGGAAAAAATCCCTTCAGCTATTAAGGTATTTGTTTCAATACGCTATAAGTGAATCTCTGGTATCAAATTTGTAATCGTGAACTAGGTCATGAGTATATGCAAAGACACACAAAACATAAAATAGTCCTATGAAGATATGCTTAGCATTTAGCAGGTGAGAAAAACTTACCTAATTCATTACGTAAATACTTAGTATTCGTGGAATGGGTCTATTATTATACTGGGGGTGCTATTATACCATGTCACTGTTTGAATTTGTTTATTATTCCTTTTGCATAGTTTCTCCTTTTTTAAATGCATGACTATCCTAGTTGCCTGAAACATTTGAAATTGGTTAATTGATCTTAAGTTGTTACGAGGGATTTTGAGTGACAGTCTGTAGTCATAATTGTTGTTGGTTCCAAAGTTTAACTAACTCACGGAAAGTTGATTGTTCTTGGACCAAAATATAAGTTTGGTTTATTCAGGTTGGGTCTTACTATAAATTAGACTATTGGTTTAGAAATAAAGTTGATCATTATTACGCTTGCAGCAATGAGTCTAGTTGTCTTAATTGAGGTAAAATCTCCTGATCATGACAATGTATTAAGATGGAAATATGATTGCTTTCATATTAATATTGAAGTTAAGTTAATAGTTTGAAGGTTTGTACCTTTAGCTAGAAATTAAAGTCACTAATCTTTTTGTGAAGAGCCGAAATTGGTTGCTTCTAAGATCAAATGACAATAGAAAAGGTTAAATAAAACCCCTCCCCCAATGTAAAGTCAATACACCTAAGCAAAAAGAGAACTCTTTAATACAAAGCACCTTTAACACACTCTATATGATAAGTTAATATATATAATATTTATGATTTTATTAATTATTTTGCGTAATTATTATGTAGTATAATTTCGTTCTACACATTAAAATAATAAATAATTTAGTTGAGTTTTGGGATGAAATTTGATTTTAGTGGGTTTTGTAACACCCTGTATGCATCCGGTTTGTTAACATTACATCGTATTAAGCTGCACTTAATAAAAAATTGCGGAATATCTTTTTCTTTTCCAATTATGACGTCATATACTTAGCTAAGTTGATTACTTAATCAATTTCATAAAAACATCGTCTGTATGTAAATTGCAATAAGACATATACTGATATACCTCAATATATAAATAAAGTGTGTATCTAAAATCACGGATCTACAACTCGTAGTCCAGACCATAATCCTGATACATTATTACAACTCCAAATAAAACAAGACATAAACAAGACTATGTGTCATGGACAATCCCCATGCTCACCAAATCAACAGTGTCTCAACAAGATGATATACAATCATAAGCTGAAGCTAAAAGCATAAAGCAGCATGCATAACCAGCATCCAACAAGTCAGCATAATATAACAGCAATATCTAACTCAGCTCCGGCCTCCTACCGCCTGAGGTCTCGACCATACCTGAACCTGAAATAAGCGCCCCAAACGTGGGATAAGATCTCTAATAGAAATCTCAGTAAGACAAGGGGTCCTCAAGGATCTTCCACCCCAAGCTCACTTACATGTTCAATATAAGTTCAAAAGCAATTTAACAATAGAATTTCCAAAATAGTGCAATGCAACAGATAATCATGTCATGTGGGTTATAACTATTCTACTGATCAGAGAAATGCAGGAATACGTCTATTACTCACACAGTACCAGCCCATGTTGTACCCACCCCCAAAGGGCCACCCCATGGTTTCCCTTTAAGGCAAACACCACATAAATATCATACAGCAATTGCGCTTAACAGCTCTATAGCATTTCAATAAAATAGTACATGAAGACAACATCATGCATATAACCATACCCCCATGGGACATGGTGGAACCAACAATGGCTAAACCGAGGACACGAAAGCTTACCTTGCAAGCTCACTATCCAATGCCAAGAGTCCACACGGCTCAAGTCCAACACACAGCAGATCAAAATCTGATATGGACCAACAATTATATCAATATTCACATTCTAATATTTTACCATGATAAACAGAATTCCAGCAACCAAAACGTGACTTATAATAGACACTGCGATCAAACCACTAATCCAATGGCTATGAAAATTTACAGAGTTGTAGCCCTAAGTGTTAGCTTCACATAGGTTCAGATGGCACTCAATTTGGAGCTCTGTAGCCCAAGATATCAAATTTTTACTAAAACAGGTTTGTTGATGTCCAGACCAAAATATCGGGATATCTCCAACTGAATATCGGGATATCAGATATCCGGATATTCACAACCAAATATCGGGATATCACATATCCAGATATTTACAACCAAATATCGGGATATCACATATCTGGATATTTAAAACCAAATATCGGGATATCACATATCCGGATATTTACAACCAAATATCCGGATATTTCGCGTCAGAGATTTTGCATTTCGCGAGATATCAATGCCAAGGGTCCATTTTTAACACTTAAACACGTTAAAGCATGCATTTTTAGGCACATTAAGGTTCACACAACTGATGGTTACTTGCTTAACTCATTAAACATGCCAAGACATCAACTTTAACCCATTAAACTCATGATCAAAGGTTAGACAACTCACCCAAAGCTCAACCAGCCAACAAAGGGTGCTCTTGGAGCTCACAAGACAACTCCAAGGTTCTGACTTCTTCAAGAAACGAAAATGAACCAACAAGATGAGTTCTTTCTCCTCAAAGGTCACTACAAGAACCTCACAAAGCAAGCACCAAGCTCCCACAACCTCAACTAGCAAGTCAGCCCTTACACAACACTCAAAGAGGCAAACTCAGAAAAGAAACACCCTTCCCACACCTTCACAAGACTCAAACTCACAAGGCTAAGGTGTTTAGAAGGATCAAGAGTGGAGAAAGGTGATTACTTGGGATTTTTCTTCAAGAAAATGGAGGTGACAAGCTAAGGAGAGCCAAACTCAAAAATGGAGGCACCAAAGGTCATGTAGGAAAATATGAAATCTGACCTAGGATCATGTGTCCATCACTTATATAGCCACATAAGCATAAAACACGCAGTATTAGCTTTAATTGCTACGCGTAGCATTTTAATCCCAAACTCGGAATTATTAACCTACTCAATTTTACAATATTTATCATATTTTTCTGAGCATCTTTCCGGTACGCGCTTTTCATAGTCAGTATCAGATTCTGGCACCAGTTCTCATTATTTGGACTTGAAACTCGTTTTGCAAGTCCTATATATTATTCTAATAATTATCATGCACTTACTTTAATTTTTCGGGATACTTTTTCGGTACACATTTATACCGACTAGAAGAACCGGTATCTGCACTTTTCTTCCGAAAAGCGACTTTCAGCATTCTTAATCACTTATCATAATTATTAGAGCCTCATAATAATTATTAGGGTCAATTATGGAATCATTTCCTATTTTCTCATAATTAATTAATTAAATTCCTTAATTAACGGTGCGGGTTCTTACAGGTTTGGTATACAAGCTCATGTAAAAAATCTTTCTTAATTTTACAAATTAAAATAGTTTTAAATCTGTAATATTTTAAAAAAATTAAAAAATTATACATATAAACAGTGTAACATACAATAATATAAACAAAATTTTATCACCTAATTATATAATAATGCATAAATAATAAAAAATAGTGCATATGCTATTTTTAGAAAAATACACACACATAATATAATTTTAGACAATGGTGAGATTCATAACTCTTACTCTATTCCCTAAATTTGTCACTAGCTACTTGATCTAAATCTTCTATAAAGTTTTGTTATTCTCTATGTGCCGAGTTGATTATTTTTTTATTAAATGTTCACAATAGTCATTTTTTTCCCCTTAGCCTTAGAACTTTTATAGTTTATATCTTCAAAAATTAATATATAATAAATTTAGATGAATATTATATTTATTAAATAAATAGTATTTTTGTAATATGTTAATTTTAATCTTATCCAATACTATGAAGCACAACACTAAATATAATTAAGACACCCATAAGAATGATACCCTGTTAAATTATATGTAACTTTAACCTGAATGATTAAAAGACTTTTAAATTGACAAGATATGTATTCAACCACGTAAAAAGACATTGTAGAAATAGTGTGTGAAGAATAATTTCACAGCTAAAAGAATGTGAAAAGACCTCATAAAACTATTATTTTATAAAAAAAATGTATCATTCAACCAAACTGCTCTTATAATTAAGAGATAAGCTTAGGTTACCCAAAAAAAAAAAAGAGATAAGCAAAACCGTTTACCGAAAAAAAAAAAAGAGATGAGCAAAACCTCTAACCAAAAAATATAAACAAAACTAAATCACTCTAAATAAAATCTATAGGCATGTAATAAATGCGAAAATAATACGTATTAATTATAAAAATTAGGACATGTTTGGTGCATAGTATAGGATAAGACCTGATTATATAAGATTAGATTGAATTTTAATACTATCTAGCGTTTAGCACGGTATTGTATAAAATAATATATTTGTATAAAATAATATCATCTAGTATTTGATAATGCACTGTATAATACTATATATGATAAAAATAAATATTTTTACTAAAAATATCATTTGATAAAGAATTTATATAATTCTTCAAAAAATGTCATATGATATTAATTTTTATACAAATTTATTGATCAATATGTCAGAAATATAAATTAATTTTTATAAAAATAAAAATATTCAATATTTCAAAATTAATATATTGAAAAAATAATTTTTATTTTAATAGATTAATATTAAAATAATATATTAATTTTTTAGAATTACATTGGTCAACGATGTTAATAAATCAATTTCTTATCATGTCTTATCCCTCACCCTTAAGCCATATTAAGTTATATATCGTTTTGATGTATTAAGGGATTATGCTGTATAAGCTTATACTATACGATGGTCACACCAAACAACTGAAAATGTCATAACGTATAATATAAGCTTATACTATCATGCCTTATACGTTACACCAAAGAGGCCCTTATATACATATCATGTTATTGAAAGTTATTGTTTGTTCCTATAGACACAATGTGAATATGGGGGACCACAATTTTTTTTTTCTCATCTCACTTTCTCTTTCTCCCTTATTGTGTCTAAGAAAAATTATTGTCTCTTGTAACATAAGACATATATAACCCTAATTATAAATATATATATTATACTTATTAAAATAAAAAAACATCTTAAGGGAAAAAGCCCCGGAAACAACATATGCAGCTAATATTTATTTTCGTTACATTTCTCTGCTATGGTCACAATTATAATAAATTGACTTTTTTTTTGTACAATAAAAGTTTAGGTAGGGTTAGATACGGGTATCCCACCAGGGTTAAGGCAGACCTCCCAACCTTTTTGAAAATTTCTGAAAGGGATTATAGATCACGCACCAACAAGGTTCTCACATCGGCCAGCGGGATTTACAAAATAATTTTTATATATTTCTACTAACTTCTAAATATTTTCTTATGTTATTGCAGACATCTTGTTTTAGTCATAGAGATAAATATGAGGTACCCCTATTTTATGAACAAATAAAAGTAAAAATAAAATGAAAGGAACTCATATATTTATTTATATAACATAAGACAAGATGTGTCTCGCAACATGAGATAAATAAGTATTTTTTTAATGTTTATCATCATCTTTTATTCATAATGTGTAACGTCCGACAACTTGTAAGGATCAATGACTATCCCCACAAACTAACACTATACTTTTCAGCGTGCTTTGTCCTCACTCACACACTTACTCAAAAAACTTCCTAGGACTCATCCCGGAATTGCTCCAAGTCAAGCACGCTTAACTATGGAGTTCTTCCGTTCTGGGCTACCGAAAAGTAGATGCATATTGTTAGTATAGGTATTACTAATCAATTCTTATAAGTTATCCCTAACTGTATCGTCTCATACTAGCACAGTCTCTGGAATTCTTCTTTTTCGGGTGTTGATTCGATTCATTCATGTATTCCCCAGCTACAAATTTGGCATGAGTCCCTTATTATTTGTGCCATTTCGCACCGACGATCACTCCCTGCCCTTGCTAGACCTTTGGATGTTACAGAATGGGTATTATCAGTAAAAGTTAGCCACTTTGAGATCCTTCTAAGCTCTAACTAAAGCCCTAACTTCGGAGAGAGAAAACCCCTCAATCTTCAGCCATGGCCCTTCTTCTCTACCTTAGAAGCATAACCAAAACCAACATTGTATCAAACCCTTCTCTGCGCCACCATTTGTTCTCAATCTCCAACTCCAACGGTGGAGGCGGCGATCAAGCTCCTCCCAGTTCCAACTCTCCTTTCTCTTCATATTTCAGAGATGTCAAGGACATGCTCAAACAACACTCACCCTCACCCTCTACTCCAAAGATCTCAAACCCAAGGTCCCCGAGCTTTTCCTTCCACGCTTCCTCCAAATCTGAAAGAACTAATTCAAGTTCTGCCACCGCACTTTCATGCCTTCCCCTGGTGACCTGTCGTCGGCGCCATAACAACAAATCTCGTTTCAGGAGATCCATAAGCGAAATTTGGCGCAAAATCAAGGAGAATCTGCAGGAAATGCTATAAATGTGAAACATACTAAGCCCAGCGAGGGTGAGGTCTCTTTCGATGCGATTAGTGAAAGCTTGCAGCAGATTAGAGTCGGTGGCGACAACAAGGGTGCGGATCGAATGTCTACGACGGGATGGAAAGACACATGGAAACTGAAGCCCTCAGATTCGATGATTATCGGCGGTACCGATTTGTTGCCGTATTCGATTTTTAGCATGGAGATGAGGGAGAGGAGAGAAGGAGATGGCTTTTCGGCGGTGATGAAGATGGAGTTCATGAAGATGTATAATCATGGGGAATTGGGAGATAAATTGAGGAAGTTAAGATCTGAAGGAAAAGGAAAATAGTGGTTTTCTCTTAAGGAGATGAATGGGAGGTTGAGGGATATGAAGGAGAAAGAAGTTGAGTCTAATGTCAAAAAAATATCCGTTAAGGAATTGAGGGAGAGGATAGAGGGAGATGGCTTTTCGGCGGTGATGAAGATGGAGTTCATGAAGATGTATAATCATGGGGAATTGGGAGAGAAATTGAGGAAGTTAAGATCTGAAGGAAAAGGAAAATAATGGTTTTCTCTTAAGGAGATGAATGAAAGATGAGGGAGATGAAGGAGAAAGAAGTTGAGTCTAATGCAAAAAAATATTCGTTAAGGAAATCAGACAGGTCTTGGTTTGGATGAGTGAAGCTGATGAAAAAAAAAGAAATCTAGGCATATACGTCGTAGTCATGATACCGTGAGGCAACTACTATCGATGGAATCATTACAGTTGACAATGTGAAGTCTAAAAGAGAATATAGTGGATCCGTTGACTAAAGGGATTCTTATAGAGTTAGTTGAAAATTTGTCGAAAGGAATGAGTTTAAGGCCTATCAATTGTTGATCATTGCGATAACTCTACCTTGATGAGTGGAGATCCCACAAACTAGGTTCAATGTGACAACTAAGGGATGATTGACTGTTAACACCGTGGAGTTTCTAAACTCTTACTCATTCTTATGTCAAGACAATGTATATATGAGAGTAAGCATTTAGGCTTTTAATGGTTTCTTAATCTGAAGTGTCCAGAATTCAAATGATGTATGTTCGGTTACATCACAAGGAATCACCTTTGTGAGTGTGAAGTGAGGGCCGCTTCTATGAGAATCTATAAATGCCAATTATCTATAACACTCATAGAAACAGACAGATGCCTAGGGCCAAAATGAGCACAACAATGGGGACCAACAATGTTAAGGAAGCAATTGTGTAACTCCTAGGATGTGCACAACAACCATTCTGTTCCCTGACACTGTTTCCGAAAAGAAACAATTCTTTTCTATTTCTGTGCTTTATAATAGTTTATGAGAAAAAAAATATGTTTGATAAAATATTTTATTTTTATTTTGAGAATGAGAATTGCATTTGGTAACACAACAAATAATAGAATAAAAAATACTCCTATTAAGTATAATTTTTTTTCGGATCAATACTTTCCTTTTCTTTTTTTTTTGATAACACAATACTTTCCTTTTCAGATGGTGTGGTGGTGGTGGTAATGGTGGCGATGATGATGGCATGGTGGTGGTGGTGGCAGCGGCGATAGTGGTGGCGATGACAGTGGCTTGGTGATGTTAGTGGTGTTGGTGGTAATGGTGGCAACGATGGTGGTGGCAGTGGCGTGGTGATAATGGTGGTGGTGGTAGTGCTGATGGTAGTGGTATATAATAACTGAGAGAGACACATATTTCTCATTTTATGCCTGGAAACAAAAAAGCAGAATTTTTTAATTATTTTTTATGTTCCCTAGCACAAAATTAAACCGGTTCGTCTTATGAACAAAAAAATAAATCGATTTTACCAAACTAATTTTTTATCCATTTCTGTTTCCGGGAACAAAAAAAAAGATTCCGAGAAGGTTGAAAAGCACACTCCTATTGTCTTGGTATACACAAAAGATCAAAATAATTAATTAAGAAATTAATTAATACTCCTAAAAATAATTAATCAACATTTATAAAATAATTTAAATAAATATAGATTGAATAAAATTAAAATAATTAACAAACATAAATTATATTTAATTCATTAATTCTCCTAAATTTAATTAAATTACTTAACAGTTCAAAAAAAAACTTAACTTAAATTAAATTAAATAAAATTAATTAACTCTCCTAAAAATAATTAATTAGCAGTTGTAAAATATTTTAAATTAACACAGACTAAATTAAACTAAAATAATTAACAAACATAAATTACATTTAATTTGTTAACACTCGTAAATTAAATTAAATTATTTAACAATTCAAAAAAATGAACATAGCTTAAACTAAGGGTGTGCATGACAACCTTCACAGAATAAGTTTTTTTTTTTAATTTCTGTTCCTGGGAATAAAAATGGATGATAAACTTATTTGTTAAAACCAATTTATTTTTTTGTTCTCCATATGAACCGGTTTAATTTTTGTACTGGGGAACAAAAAAAAGAATTAAAAAATTTATGCTTTTCTTATTCGTGGCACAAATATAGAATCAGTTTTCCCTCGCTCTCTCTCGCTTCTTCGTACCCCTCACACACCAACACCAAACCATCACCGGCCTTCAACATATCACCAGACCACCACGGAAGTTCTTCGTCTCCGTCCCTCTCTCTTTCGCGTTCCCACTTGCAATCGGGTTAACTTGAAATTGTGGTTAACTTGATATTGCAAATTTTTGGGATTTTTTAAATTGGGGTTAGGGCTCTTGAATTTCCAAATAGGTGCTTTTGCGTTGTGGTTGAATTCTTCTGCAATTGAGTCTGTGAATTGTTAATTTGATGCATTGTGACTGTGAGGGTATGACTGATTATCTGATCGCTTGAGGGATCACACACAAACCTTATATAACTTTTTTAACCTTAATAAAAAAACAAAAAAAACTGGTGTCACAAATACAGAGGAAATAAACTTCAACTTCAGTAACAGTCCCATAAGAGGTAAAGTTCTACATGTATCTTTCAAAAAGCAATCTCTGCTAAACCAATTCGACAAGAGCTGCATGAAACATATACTTCTTATATCTATCAATTATCAAATTCAGTTTTGAATTGCTGGTGTTTGATTGAATGCAATTATGTTAGGGGATATCTTAAAACTTCACGCTGTGGCTGGAAACATGAGAAACAAAAAAATTTGAATTGCGAAGATGATTGAAAAATAATAGTTAAAACTATATATTAGCATTTGTCGTAAATTTTTTTTATAAATTTTTATATAATTTTGTTAAATATAAAATTTGGCACTTCGGATAAAATCTGTTGTCATTTGCTATTTCATACAATTGATAAAATCTATAAACAAAAGTAAAGAAATAGATTTTTATTGTGTTATCAAACGTAATTCTGATTCTCGGAATAAAAATAAAATATGTTAACAAACATAATTCTGATTCTCAGAATTGTTCCAAGGCACAGAAATAGAAAAAATCATTTCTTTTCTAAAATAGTGTCAGAAATCAGAATAATTGTCATGCGCAACCTAAATTAGATTAAATTAATTAACACTTATAAAAATAATTAATTAACAGTTATAAAATAATTTAAATTAACATAAACTGAATTAAACGAGAGAGAGAGCGAGTTGAAGAAAGGGGAGGGGGACCAGAGAAAGGGGGACGGGAGGGAGAAAGTATTTTGTGGGCCTGGACCATGGTGGTCCTTTCCCAAAATAGAAAAAAGGAGGGATGAAGTGGGAAAAAATCAAAAGAAAGGGATAGAAATAGAAGAAAATTTTCTATTTATGAAAAAAGGACCACTGGACAAGTAATAGGTCCGAAGCATATTAAATTTTTTTGAAGGGAGGATCAATTTTATAGTGGTGGAGAACACTAAAATGCGAAACAGTGCAATGAGTTTGGTCTCCTCCTGACACGTGTTACATATACATTGCGTGGGGCAACGGTTGCCTCGTAACATACTACCCAGTTTAGTGTTTTTGACCACCTAACATGCCACGCAACTTAGCGTTTTAGGTCATATGACAAAAGATGTCTGACACGTAATCTTGTAATGCATTGCTGATATGGTCATGCAGCTGCTGCCATATGTGCACAGTAACTCGCAAGTAAGGTGACATGGCATTTTGAAAAAAAAATTAGCGTGGCATCCATATAAATTTTTTTTTCCGAAGAGTTTGTCACAGAAAACTCGCTATTTTTTTTTAAAATAAAAAAAAAACTCGTTATTTTCGTCAGCCGCCACAAGCCCACGACAACCTTCTTGTTCTGTTCTGTTCTGCTTTATCATCAATGGCTTCCTCTATTGTTGCTCCATCGTCCACATCCTTCAATGGATTCCCCATCAAGGTTGGTTGGTTCTTCCCTTCATGTCCAGCCCTTTTACATTCCCGAATCCAACACAATGAATCTCATTCTCACATTTTTCGTGCTGCAAAAACTGGTTTTTCTTCACCCCTTTTGTCCAAAGGGGGGTTAACTTTGCACCAACTCATGTATTTTTCTGTTTTTCCTTGTCTCTCAGAAGGATCTGGGTCTCTCTGCTTTCTGTTCCAGTTCTTCTCAGCGATGCCAGAAACCGGTTTCTAGGAGAATGTGTTGTTCAGTTGCGGCACCGCAGCAATCGCAGCGCCAGCCTTCTACCACTGGATCAGTTCTGTAGCTATGTTTTTTGGTTACCCTTTTGGATTTATGTGTTGTTTTTGAGTCCTTGTTGTTTATGGAGGCTTGTTTGATCGGTTTCAGGTGAAGACCGCCATGACCATGACTGAGAAGATATTTGCTAGAGCTTCTGAGAAGGCCCAGTTGAGCCCTGGGGATAATGTTTGGGTTAATGTTGATGTTTTGATGACACATGATGTGTGTGGCCCTGGTTCTATTGGGATTTTCAAGAGGGAGTTTGGTGAGGATGCCAAGGTAAATTGGTTTGGCTGTTACTCAATGTCTCATTTTGGAACTTTTGTTTCTGGTGCTCGTATACTTATTTATGATTATTCATTGAGCTGCTGTGTGTAAATTCATTATATGTGATTGGATTGGATGGCTGGTAGAATTGTGGAGATAGATTTTAGGGAATTTCGAGAGGGATGAGTTGTGATAGTTGTTGAAGAGAATAGGATCAGGGTCATGTAATGGAATTGATTTGAAGAACAATGCGAATAATAGTTGCTGTTTATTAAAAGTAATTATCTGCTTTCTGCTCGAGAGTTTTGCAAATTTTGAAGTCATGTGATTGGTGCTAGTATTCTAATATCTAAAAGGGGATATACAATGATTAGTTTTTTTTCTTTTTCCTAGGGGAGTGACTTCAAAATAAATTTGCTGGTTTAATTGTGCACTTGTTCATGTCCATGACATATATGTTTGATTATTTTACCTAGAAAGTTGTCTGTACATAACTGCATATCTAATAGCATGTGCCGAATAATTATTTTGGGTTGCATACTTGTACTTATGTGGCTCATTGAAGGATTTAGGATTGTAGTTTTCTAGGATTGCTTGTTAGTCATTCTCCTTATACGCTAAGACCAAAGTTTTGTAATTTCCTGCTTGCATTGTTCCTTTGAAGGTTTGGGACCGTGAAAAGGTTGTAATAATACCTGACCACTATATATTCACAAGTGATGAACGTGCCAATCGCAATGTAGACATATTAAGAGATTTCTGCCACGAGCAGAATATCAAATACTTTTATGATATCAAGGATCTTAGCAATTTTAAGGTATGCATTCTTTTGATTTATTCAATATTAGTTTGGTCCTTTCAATTCTTAAAGAGCATTGTAATGCACAATATCCGTGGACATTGAATGTGGGATTTTAACAATGCAGGCAAATCCAGACTACAAAGGTGTTTGCCATGTTGCTCTTGCTCAGGAAGGTCATTGTAGGCCTGGAGAGGTTGGATTAATTTAACAAGTTATTTGAAAGGATAGTCAAGTATTGTTCATTTGTTTGATAGAATTTTGGTTTCTGCTTTGCTAATCCGATTCTGGTTGTCTCCAGGTTCTTTTAGGTACTGATTCTCACACCTGTACTGCTGGAGCATTTGGTCAATTTGCTACAGGGATTGGTAATACCGATGCTGGTTTTGTGTTGGGAGCCGGTAAGCTTCTGCTCAAGGTAAATGTTATGTTTCACTAAGGTCTATGATGCTGTTGTTAAGAGTTACTATATTATGTTTCTTTTTACTATGAGAACTTGAGCTCTCTGCCACTTTGAGGTCCTTTCTCTCTTTCTTCATTGTAACTATCTTATATTTGAAATCATTATATTTTTGACCTTTTATTATCCACTCCAGCCTAAGGCTTTTTATATGGCGGTTTTAAACTCAAATAGGTTTAATTTGTATTATTTTTTGTTTGTAATTTTATTTTGCTCTTATTAGCTTGGCAACTGGCTAATTTGCATTTTGCTGTTTACTTGATTCTCTCTCTCTTAACCTGTCTTTAATATTCTTATATTTGAAAAAACTTATTCTATCTTTTTATTGTTAGCCATTTTCCATGGGCAGCTTTTATATATTACTAAGAGTTACCTACTCATTTCTAGAAAAAACAATGGTGATAGTGTGCTAGCAAAATAAGAGAAGCAGAAATTAATAAGGATTTTCTTGAAACTTTTGGGACTAGAGCAAAGCTGGAAAAGTACCTTTTTATTCTCTTTATTAATAATAGAGGAATAATTGTTTTCTATATGTATTTAATTTAAATGTAGGTGCCTCCAACTCTGAGATTTGTAATGGATGGAGAAATGCCCAATTATTTGCTTGCAAAGGATTTGATTTTGCAAGTAAGTATCGTTGATCCTGTACTTCTGTTTCTGTAGGATGTATCATAGTCATATGGTAACCATGCGTTGTCTGATTGGCTTATTTGAATGTAGCAAATATAAAATTACATCCTTACATGAATGCATGATGTACCTTACAGATTATTGGTGAAATAACTATGGCTGGTGCAACATATAAATCTATGGAGTTTGTTGGCTCAACTGTTGAGAGTTTAAGTGTAAGTATGTTCAGCAATATGTTATGCTATGATGTAACTCTCAATGTTTCTTCAATATCTGAACTCTTTTTATTTTGATTATAAATGTTGTTTTGGCATTTTGTCCCTCTTGGGTAGATGGAAGAGCGGATGACATTGTGCAACATGGTTGTTGAAGCTGGGGGAAAGAATGGTGTTGTTCCTGCTGATAGCACTACATATAAATATCTTGAGGTTTGTGCAAATAAGCTGATGCACTGAGATTGATGTCTTGCATCTGAACTTATGTGTATATGTTTGCATTTTGCATTACCTTATCTTTTTTCTCTCTCTAAATTTTTTTTAATAAAAAATTGTGTTTGCATTTTGACATTATTAGAATATTTAGTAAGTATGTCATAATATCGTTGTACCTTAGAATAATTTAGAGTATCATAGATGATTTCTTAGGAGTGATTTCCATATTTCATTATATTTCCTAATTTGTTTCCTTATTTGATTAGGACCGGGAGTCTAGTATGCACTTGTTCAAATTGGGGTTGGTGCTTTGTATTTTGTATCATGTCATAATACACCATATAAATTTAATATCCTCCTTCCCTATCTAAACCCTGTAATTTCAACTTGGTATCGAGTAGTATCATCTTCTATCACTATTCGACTGTTGACATCTTTAAAATTTGGAATTCTTTCGTTTGTCAAATAAAACAAATCATATCTGTAGGAAAACCAATCAAATAATTTCATTATATCCTATTTTGCCTTTCTATTGGCCATGACAAATTCCAACCACCAAAGCTCTAGGCCTATGTCATTTTCTATCTCCCCTTTTTCTCTTTTCTGCAATTGTGCGTATGAGATCTACCCTCATCCATGCAGCTTTTCAACTCACTGCCACTGCCAACAACTCTAGTGTGTCCAAATTAGCCGGGGCCTAAAATCGCACCACCATCGGAGCTCCGACACACTGCCATGTGCTGCCTGGCTAAATCTGACCAGCCTTGCTCTTTTTGTGCATGTGAGGGTGCATCTGGCAATGGCTCTGACAGCCATTTTGGCAGCCATTTTGCTGTGTTGACATAGTGGCTTTGTTTGTGTGATTCGCCATGAATGGTGCTTTCCCTTTGTATATTGTGCCCATGTCTTGGCCAGATCGGCTTAAATGTTGTTTCCATTTCTTTTGCAGGGTAAGACATCTGTGGCATATGAACCAGTTTATAGTGACCAGCAAGCAAGGTAGTTGTAGTTTTCAAATTTCTTCTTGTTTTCCCCCTATTATATTCAATGTTTAGGAAAAGTCAATGCTCCATGTATCACCTCTTATATAAAATGCTATAGTGCTTGTAGAAATAGACACTGACAAATATTTGTCATCGTAGGAAAGAACCTTTGGTGTCGCTTGAAATTATTAAGTTTTCAACGTGGATATAGTATAATTGCAGTTTCTGTTACTCAAGTTCTCTCATCATTAATCAACTAAAAGGTTAAACGAATATCAAGAAGGAATCTATATTTGCTAGCCATTCGTGGGAGAAGCAGCTTGGGATAGCATGTTGACTTTGGGGATTATATAATGAAAATATTACATTTTGTCAGGATGGTATGGTACTTATTAAGAAAGTATAACATAGACCATTTACTTATCCTTCTCTTTTGGTGTGTTAGAGAAGTAATATATAGAACCATTAAAGTGGGTCTTACTTATCAGGTTGAACTTTTGAGTTAAATTAGTTTTTTATATGAGCCTCCGTGACCAAGTGATCACGAGTTCAATCCTTACCGCCCTCCTTTCTATTAATAAATATTTAAATATTGTAGAGTATTTTAGGATAGGTAGGTGGGACCTATGCATTGTCTACCCTTCAAGCCCAATGGATTGTCATGTTGCATATTTTTTCAATTTATCAAACCAAGATTATTTGCATGATTTTTGTTAACAAAATTAGATATTAGCATACATCTCTTATAAATTTATCACAACGAAGGAACACAATGTCTGTGATGTGTATAGTGGAGAAAAACTGGATGTTGAAACTGAAATATTAAGATCCATTAATAATCAATTTTATCCATTACTAATATATATATATTTTTTTGGCATTTAGATTTCTTTCTGAATATAGATTTGATGTCTCAAAATTGGAGCCTCTGGTGGCCAAGGTTTGTCCTTTAATTGCATTTCCATTGAGGTTTTATTCTGTGTTTAATTTTCATGCAGCTATATGTTATTATCTTACACTGCCACTATGTTTTACAGCTAATATAATTCTTATAATTGTTGCAGCCTCATTCTCCAGATAACCGTGCTTTGGCAAGAGAGTGCAAGGATGTGAAAATTGACAGAGTATATATAGGATCTTGTACAGGTGGAAAAACGGAGGATTTCATGGCTGCAGCAAAAGTTTTTCTAGCATCAGTAAGATCATCTTTTTATAATCTTATAAAAGATGTTGGACTTTATTGGCAGCTTTTCTGGCTGAGTCTTACAACTTCTTTACTATATTTATGTAACTTTCCAAGGTTACATTTACTGCAACATTTAAGTTAGTGTTGCATGACACAATGCTTATCTCAAATTGTGTAAGCCTGGTCTGCATGTTTTCTTGGGTGTTATTTGTTGTAACAGTCCCACATTTGTAATTGCTATAATTATAAATTATATTGTTATTAGGATGTGTCATTAGTTGCCATAGATTGAGCCTTATTTTAGGGAAGTAATTATTTAGTGTAGCCAATATATTGTAATGTATTGTACAATTTTTTTTATCTATTGAAAAATAATATTTAGTACTTTATCATGAAAGTTGGTATCGGATCCCAATTTGGATGCTTCTGCTTCTGCTTCTGCAAAATTGACCTTAGACTGCCTTCATTGTGGCTAGTTTTGGCCTCCTTTTTGCTCCATTATCGCGCCCATTCCTTTTTCAAGACGATATTGTGCTTATTGATGAGAGCAAGGAGGGTGTTAATAGAAAACTTGAATTGTGGAGAAGCACGTTGGAATCCAAAGGATTCACATTAAGTCGAAGCAAGACTGAGTATCTGAAGTGTGAGTTTTCTCTGGTACGAGATGGGGACCAAGAGCCCGTGCATTTAAGTGGTCAAGAGGTACCCAAAAAAGATGCTTTTAAATACTTGGGCTCCATTTTACAAAAAGGTGGAGAGATTGATGAGGATGTAAATCACAGAATCAGAGCAGGATGGATGAAATGGCGCAGTGCATCTGGGTTTTTGTGTGATCGCAAAATTCCTCTTAAGTTAAATGGGAAATTCTATAAAATGGCAGTAAGACCGGCAAAACTATATGGCGCGGAATGCTGGCCAACACATAGGCAACATGAGCATAAGATGAGAGTAGTAGAGATGAGGATGTTAAGGTGGATGTGCGGTTACACAAGGATGGATAAGATAAGAAATAAAGATATTCGACGAAAGGTCGGAGTGGTACCAGTAGCCGAGAAGATGAGAGAATATAGATTGAGGTGGTTTGGGCACGTGATGAGAATGCCCCTGGATGCTCCTGTAAGAACAGAAGTTTGTTACCAAGAGCTCAACACAAAAAGAGGTAGAGGTAGGCCGAAACTTACTTGGGGGAAGGTGGTAAAACAAGATTTAATGGAGTGAGATATAGATTGGCGGACGGTATGTCTTAGAACGGAATGGAGAAAAGCTATAAGTATGGTGGAGAGTTAGACCCGTTGTTATTCCTATGTTCCAGATGGTCCTTTTTTAGTCCTTTTCCCCTTCATCTCCCCCACTTCTCCTTGTCTCTTTCTTTTTTAATTTTATTTATTTATATATACATATATATATATATATATATATTTTATTTTATTGTATTTTATTTTATTTTTTCAACCGTTTTGTATCTTTCATGTGAGTTCATCTACCACCGACCCCAATTAATTTGGGATAAAGGTGATGTTGATGTTGATGTTGATCGCGCCCATTCCTTTCACAGCTACCAAGCTCGTCACAGCCACCGCATCTGCCGTTGGCCGCCACCTACTCTCTAATTGAAGAGACTACCTAATCAACCCCCGTCTAACCCACCACCAAAGATCCAGCCACCACCTCCCACCCACGCACTGGTGAAGCTTTGTGTCTCTGATCACGTGCCACCCCTTCCAACAGCGTTTAGCGGTGCGTTTGGTCGCCATTCAGCCCGCCGTTGGAGTTGGTCATCATGTCTCAACCTTGTCTACCCTTATCTACCCTCACTTGGTCTAATCGGTATCTACTCGCTGGTCCTTCTTCCAATAAGGGGTGGCATGTGGCCCATACCCACTACCACTTTGTTTGACACAGAGAGCCTTATTACTTTATGTCATGAATGAACTCTCCCAAAAGCTTAAGTTATGTAAAGACACCTAAATGACTTTATATTACATCTCTAACACGCCTCCTTGGGCAAGAGCTCTTTGGATTCGAAGCGTAAACAATGTATAGGCCACCCACCTTGTGGAGGAATTCAATTTTTATCAAAAGAATGGGGACTACAAGAATCAAACTCTAGACCACTTGGTTGTAGAGGCTCGGATAGCATGTCATGAACCAATATCATAGGTTAGTTGGTAAGTTGATATACCCGGTGCATATTAGGCTAGGTCTAGCATATGTAGTTAATGTTGTTAGCCAATTCATGCATGACCCAAGAGTGAGACACAGACAATGGATGAAATTGTATAGTATCTTAAGGCTAAACTTGGCAGAGGATCTTTGTTTAGAAAGGGTGGAAATCTATCATGGAAGTATATACAACTGCCGATTATGTTGGGCCAGTTATTGATAGGAGGTCAACCTCTGGTTACTGTATGTTCTTGGGTTAAAATTCAGTGACTTGGAGGCGTAAGAAACAAAATATCACTCGATCACGTGCAGAGGCTGAGTTCGAGCTAGGGAAGAAGTTGGTGAGCTGGTATGGATGACCTTATATTAAAGTATGAAATTTCTATGAAGTTGTTTTGTGACAACAAATCAGCCATTAACATTGCTTAGAGTCGGTTCAGCATGAAAGGACAAAACATATTGATTTAGATTAGCATTTTATGAAGTAGAAATTGGATAGTGGGTTGATCACCACAACATATGTTTCTTTAGTGTTTCAGTTGGCGTATGTGTTAACTAAAGGGCTTACTAAATAAAGGTTTCAGGATCTTCTTGGAAGGCTGGGAATGATAGATATGGGTTTTGTAACAATTCCACTTCGGTTACATTTGTAATCATTGTAATTGTTGTAAATTATTTTATTATTATGAAGGGTCATCAATTGCGGTAGATTGAATCTTATTTTAGGAAAGTAATTATTTAATTTAGCTTATATATTGTATTGTATTGTACAGTTTTATAGTCAATTCAGAAATAATATTCAGTCCCTATTCATTCAAGTGTATTTCATCTTGCATTGTAGCATTTACTCAGTTTTATGGAATTTACTATGCTTTTTATGACATATTTGATTCAATATCTCCTACGAATCTTGCAACTGTTTGCCCTAATGAGGAACTTGATATCTACACCTGCAGGGTAAAAAGGTCAAAGTTCCCACATTTCTTGTGCCTGCAACACAGAAGGTCTGAACATATTTTCATATTTATATATCTTTGTATCAGTTAATTTACGGTTATTGAAGTAAGAATATCTAGAGGATATCTTACAATATCATATGTTATAGAATATTTCGGAGTATCTTAGATGATCTCTTAGAAATAATTTCCATATTTGTTTATATTCCATGATTTGTTTCCTTATTTAATTAAGATTAAGAGTTTTTCATTAACATAAATAAAACTTAGTGCTTTGTCTTTTCTACAGATGAATGTTTTCTAACATATATCTGTAAATGGAATTTCAGGTATGGATGGACGTATATAGCATCCCAGTCCCTGGATCTGGTGGTAAGACTTGCTCACAGATATTTGAAGAAGCTGGGTGTGACACACCTGCTAGTCCTAGTTGTGGTGCTTGTTTGGGTGGCCCTAAAGATACTTACGCACGCTTGAATGAACCTCAGGCAAGTTCCTTGCTTTCTGTCTGAGTATATTGTCATATACAATTACAAGATTAGCTCAAATTCCACCTACATTACTTTTATCCTTATTACAATGAAGTGACTGCTAATATCGGCATTGACATGTTGACATCAACAATACCTTTATCCTAATCTAGTTGGGGTCAGTGGAAAGATAATTTGATTACATCAGGAAATTTGTTCATTCCTACACATTTGTATGTCATGAAATGGAATGGTTTATATTTAAGAAAACACTAGTTGAATCTTTGAAGTGATGAAAACCATCAGCAAGTGAAAGCAACCTTTTCTTTGTAATTAATAAGAGTTTTGGTGCCCTTCTTAATGTCTCACTTGGCTAGCTATTTTAACATATTATAATTTGTATTTGTAATTTTATATTTCATTGGTAGTTAATTTAAAAACTGTAATCTTTAAAAGAAAATTAAATTCCTAAGAAGTAGGAAGTGGCTTCTGCTTGGAAATAAGGAAAAAGGGTTGGGTGAGAATGGAGTTAGCTGTGTTGATGGTTAGCTAATAAATTTTATTAATAAAGTGAAAGACCATGGGGAGTGTGTTCTTTTTATAATATTATCGCGTGCACTCATTTTTGTCTTGTTATAGGTCAATAGATTTCTTTAGAATATAAAGATGTATGGTTCTGAATGTTGAAGCATGCAGCAGTCTTATTATTTAATACGTGGTGAATGGCTGCTTCTCTGCCATATGATTGTATTTATAGGAAATGGATCCTCTCGGGTGACATGAGAGGTCCCACGAGAGGATATCAGTCGTCCATATACAAATAAAGGGTAAGAAAATAATAACCATTGATTTGTATCTAGACGGCCGATATCCTCTCACTTGACCTAATGTCACCTGAGAGAAGTTTCATTCCCATATTTATATGCTTTCTACACAAGGGATGAGATTGAGAGTATGAATAATTTACTCAATTGCTTATGGGGTGGTTGTGCAGGTTTGTGTTTCAACTACAAATAGGAACTTCCCTGGCCGAATGGGGCACAAGGAAGGTCAAATATATTTGGCTTCCCCATATACAGCTGCAGCATCTGCATTGACTGGTCATGTTACTGATCCAAGAGAGTTCTTGCACTAGGGTGTTATTTCAATAACCCCATTGTATCATATATATGCATTGGTTAGTTTTGTATTCTCTAGCCATAAGTTAAAACTGTATGTTATTAAAGTTGACCAAATGTATCTGTAATTTTGTTTCATGGATAAATTCTATGTGACTGTTAATGAATTGGTGCTCACTGTGAATAAAACCTTATTCACTGTCTTGTATTAAATCTTACTGCAGTAAGACAATTGAGGTAATTTGTTTTGTTACTTGCAGAGGTGGTTCTATTTATTTAGTTCTTGCTTGCAATTTTTCCTTCATACGTTAAATAATTGCTATTTGATGCCGAAATAGTGGAGTGCACGTTGCTTGTTATCAATATATGTGAATCTTTTTTAGCACTCTTAAAAATACTTATCTTACTAATTAACATACTTAAAAAAAAATGTAAATTTTATTGCATAAATTGATAAAAATCTAACTTACCCGTAAATCAATTCCTCAGAAATAGTTGAGTTGGATAAATACAATTAAGCAGAGCTCTAATTCAATAGCTGAAATCAACTCAAATATGAAGTCTATTATTTTTTAACAAAATTTAACGAATAACCCAAAAATGTAATATACTGTTTAACAAGATTTACATGAGAGTGAAATGAATGAATATAATGAATTTCTTTTATAAATGATTTTCTTTTTCTCATTGTAACAAGTCAACTGTTTTTCTTAACATCAATTCCCCCATTTTCCATCAGGGGGCGTTTGGTTGAGGAGAAATTTTTTGAATACTAGAAAAATGTAATAGATAGAGAAATGATTGGAAAGTGAGATAGGTAGGAAAATGTAAAAAAAAAATTGTTTGGTGGGAAAAAACTTTATTGGAAAAATTAGGTAATTTTTATGAAATCAACAGTGCATTACTCGGTTTTCCAAAAAAACCATCCTCAAATTTGGCTTCTAAACAGTGCGGATATCTATCTTTCTTAACAAAAGTTGATAAAGATTGCATAAATGAGAATTTGGTGAAAATCTATTTAAACAAACATTGTGTTTCTAAAAGTCATACTTGATTTTTCAAGGAATTTGTTGAAAAGAAGGGAACCAAACACCACCTCAAAGTAACATAATGTATTCTAATGCCATAAGCAAACCAAGATATAATTGGAAATGGAATATGAAATTCGTAGGAAGAGCACAAGATTATATTAAAAATAAAGAATTAGGTTAAAATACAAAAAAATGAAGCAAATACTGATTTATAACATTTCCTATCTTCACATTCTACTGGACATGCATGCATGCAAGTGATGCAACTCAATCTGCATCCTCTTTTCATAGGAAGCTTTTGTTGTCCACCATCCGAAACTGAAAGTGTCTTCCTTCTTACTATTAGCGCCACATTAAAATTGTACCGATGACAAAGCGTCACAATAGGTACTATAATTGTACGAGAGAACTTTCACTACTCTAACAACACATGCTCCTTCCATTAAAAAGATGATATATGGCTTAATTTTTTTTCTCTCTCTTCTTTGTACATATATCACATTTTCTCTCTTTGATTTTGATTGGCTTGTCCCACTGAATAAATGGTGCTCCTGGAGCACCATAATAATTTCGGTGGAATGAGTGCTATTATACCATGTCAGTGTTTGAATTTGTTTATTATTTCTTTTGCAAAATTTCCTTTTTTAAATGCATGACTATCCTAGTTGAACGAGACATTTGAAATTGGCTAATTGATCTTAAGTTGTTAAGAGGGATTTTGAGTGAGAGTCAGTAGTCATAATTGTTGTTCCAAAATCTAAGTAACTCAAGGAAAGTTGATTGTTCTTGGACCAAAATATAAGTTTAGTTTATTCAGGTTGGATCTTACTATAAATTAGACTATTGGTTCAGAAATAAAGTTGATCATTATTACACTTGCAGCAATGAGTCTAGTTGTCTTAATTGAGGTAAAATCTCCTGATCATCATGACAATGTATTAAGATGGAAATATGATTGTTTTCATATTAATATTGAAGTTAAGTTTGAAGGTTTGTACCTTTAGCTAGAAATCAAAGTCACTAATCTTTTTGTGAAGAGCCGAAATTGGTTGCTTCTAAGATCAAATGACAATAAAATAGGTTAAAAAAAACCCTCCCCCAATGACAAGTCAATATACCGAAGCAAAAAGAGGAGAACTCTTTAATACAAAGCACCTTTAACACACTCTATATGATAAGTTAATATAATATTTACGATTTTATTAATTATTTTGCGTAATTATTATGTAGTATAATTTCGTTCATCAAATTCCTTCTACACGTTAAAATAATAAATAATTTAATTGAGTTTTGGGATGAGATTAGATTTTAGTGTGTTTGCTATATAAGCTCGTGTAAAAAATCTTTCTTGTTAATTTTATAAATTAAATTAGTTTTAAATCTGTAATAATATTTTTTAAAAATTAATCAATTATACATATCAACAGTGTAACATACAATAATATAAACAAAATTTTATCACCTAATTATATAATAATGCACAAATAATAAAAAATAGTGCATATGCTATTTTTAGAAAAATACATACACATATATAATATAATTTTAGACAATGGTGAGATTCATAACTCTTACTCTATTCCTAAAATTTGTCACTAGCTACTTGATCTAAATTTTCTATTAAAGTTTTGTTATTCTCTATGTGCAGAGTTGATTTTTTTTTTTTTTTTTTGCTCCTTAGTCTTAGAACTTTTATAGTTTATTTCTTCAAATAATAATATATAATAAATTTAGATGAATATTATATTTATTAAAAAAGGAGTATTTTTGTAATATGGTAATTATCCAATATTATAGAGCACAACACTATATGACACCCACAGTGGCGGACCCAGAAATTAATATGACGGGGGCAAAAACAAAAAATATTATATTATAAATAAAAATATTTACTGTAAAATATAAACCAAATATGATTTCTAACAATATATTTTGAATGAAGTTACTATATTATAAAATGTATCGTGATTTTTTGCCTTAATATATATTATATTTTTGTCAATTCATATTCGGCTTTATATCATATAAATCTAAATGGTTTTATTTTTTAATAAGATAAAATGGTTATATTTTTAAATTTTTGTCTTATTTTACACAGTTAATTTTTTTAATTTGAACCATTCAACCCGTTTCTGTCGAAGTGTTTCTACTTCTATATCTTATTTAATTATTTATCAATTATTAATTATTGTTTTATTTGTTTGGTTTATGTTTTCAAAATCTTTTTTATCCATGTGGCTTCTCATTTACCTTACAGTGAAGGACCATGAACTTCTCTAATTACCACTATCCATGCACTCGTTAGCAATTTCTATAGTCCACATTATTTATGCTTGTCTTGCCCTCAATAATTTATCCAGACATCCATATATAAATTTTTTTTCCAGAGTTTTAGGAAGGCGGGGGGCCATCCCTAGCCCATGTCGGTCCGCCACTGGACACCCATAAGAATGATTATGATACTCAGTTAAATTATATGTAACTTTAACCTGAATGATTAAAAGACTTTTGAAGTGACAAGATATGTATTCAACCACGTTAAAAAACATTGTAGAAATAGATGTGTGAAGAATAATTTCACAGAAAGACCTCATAAAACTTTTTTTTTAAAAAAAAAAATGTATCATTTAAACAAACTGATCTTATAATTAAGAGATAAGCAAATCCTGTAACCAAAAAATGTAAACAAAACTAAATTACTCTAAATAAAATCTATAGGCATGTAATAATTGCAAAAATAATAATTAATTATAAATATATATTATACTTTTAAAAATATTTTTTATGTTATAAAAGATAAATTCTATCTGCTATACATATATAAAAATGTGTGGAGTTCATATATATTTTTTTTCTTCTCCCGACTCTACATGAATCTCACACATTTATATGTATTTATATATGTATAAAAAATAAAATAATTGAGAAAAATTAATCTTACATTTTAAAATCAAATAAGAGAAAAAAGCTCCGGCAACAATACATTGACACACATAACTAATATTTATTTTCGTTACATTTCTCTGCTATGGTCACAATTATAATAAATTGTTTTTTTTTTTTTAAATTTCTATTAGCTTCTAAATAATTTTTGATTATCTAATAAAAAGTATTAAATATTTTATTAAAAATTTCATTACAAAATTCTATTTTCCATTTTTTCTTTTATGTTTATCATCATCTTTTATGCACAGTGGGTATTAACAGTAAACGTTTTGAGATCCTTCTAAGTTCTAAAACCCTAACTTTGGAAAAACCTCTCAATCTTCAGCGATGGCCCTTCTTCTCCACCTTAGAAGCAGAGCCAAATCCAATACTGTGTCAAACTCTTCTCTGCGCCACCATCTCTTCTGTACTTCCAACTCCGGCGGCGGCGGCGACGGCGACGGCGATCGAGATCCTCCTACTTCGAACTCTCCTTTCTCTTCATATTTCAGAGATGTCAAGGACAGGCTCAAACAACCCTCACCCTCACGATCTACTCCAAAGCTCTCGGACACAAGGTCCTCGAGCTTTTCCTTCCCCGCTTCCTCCAAATCCCAACCATCTTCTCTCGATGAGATCCAAAAGAACTTATCCGAGTTCCGCCGCCGCCGTACTTCAGTGCCTCCGCCTGGTGATCCGTCGTCGGCGCCGCAGCAGCAAATCTCATTTCAGGAGATCTATAAGCGGGGGCAAATTCAAGGCGAATCCGCTGGAAATGCTGCCAATGTGGGAACTGCTAAGCCTGGCGGCGGTGGGGTCTCTTTCGATGCGATTCGTGAAAGCTTGCGGCAGATTGGCGCCGGCGCCGGCGGTCGCAAGGGCATGACGGGATTGAAAGACGCATTGAATTTGAAGCCCTCGGGTTCGACGGTTATCGGCGGTTCCGGTTCGTTGCCGGATTCTGTTTTCGGCAGGGAGATGAGGGAGAAGAGAGAGGGAGATGGCTTCACGGCGGCGACGAAGACGGAGTTCGCGAAGATGTATAATTATGGGGAATTGGGTGAGAAATTGAGGAAATTGAGACCTGAGGGAAAAGGAAAAGAGTGGTTTTCTCTTAGGGAGTTGAATGAGAGGTTGATGAGGTTGAGGGAGATGGAGAAGAAGGAAGCTGAGTCTAATGTCAAAAGATTTTCCGTTGAGGATGTCAGACAGGTCTTGACTGAGATGAGTGAAGCTGATGAAAAGAAAAAGAAAAAATCACGTCAGTAACAAGTTCACATTTTTCTCCTCTTTTTTTTATTTTTTAATTTTCCGCTTTAATACAACTTCAAATGTCCCTCGTAGTTATTATGATGATACACTAGAAGGATGAAGTTGATGAAACCTAATCTATCAACTTTCCCTGAATCGTTAACAAATTTGAAGAGATGGGGAATGAATTTGAGTACTTAACTATATATATATATATTGCATCTATGATTATGTGGTGATCCTATTATGATATAATTTTATTTGAAATAAGTAACTAATGGTATGAAGTTTCCAGTGCAGAGAATTGATTTCTTGGGCCAGTTGGGTGGGACTCCAGCCTTCTTGCTGGAGCCTCCTAAAGAGCATCTTGTTGAAAAGGCAAGTGCGGTTTGCTTTGGTCTATTTTTTATCTGATTTTGATTTTTGTCTCTTCTTCTTAGTTTGTTAATGTAAACCTTCATTTGATTGTTACATCTTGCAAAATTACATATTTATAGCCACAATTTTCAAATAAATACAATACAGTAGTTTATATATTCGTCGTTCTCTGTTTTCTCTCTATTGGCGTGATCTGATCTATTCAATGCACACACATTAATATAGTGAAGCCATTATTCCTGTATCTTTGTATTGAAGTGATGCGAGCTGCTGATGTTTTCATTCATTTAAGTTTTTGACTAGAACGAAACTGTTCGTTGATTGCTGTTGGCCTGACCAGTACTTGGAAATTGCAGGTTGCTTGATATTATTGAGTGAACCTGTTGAAGTCTGTGTTGTGTTGTTTAAAATGTCCATAGTTTAATATCTATTATGTTGTTATTAGTGTTAATTAATTTGATGCCCTAATATTGCTACTTTATGTTTATTCCAGTACTTTCATCCAGATAATATGTCCTCAGCAGAAAAGTTGAAAATTGAGCTCGCAAAGGTTAGAGATGAGTTTAAAATGTCGGAGTCAGATTGTGGATCTGCTCGCGTTCAAGGTAAAGTAAATTTTTGATTAACTGATTTATGCAATGCTCGATAAATTGGATTTGGAAAGGGGGCAGTAGGTCTGCCTTACTTATCTTCCTTTCAAATCTGAACGAGTTGTGGTTACTTATTACAATATAGGTTAGGGTTAAAGTTGAGGTGAAAGTTCATAATGTTTCTTGCCGATGCCTGTGACAATGTTGATAGGCACTTGTTAAGGAATTAATAGTATCCCATTGATGTTATGCAGTTGCACAACTCACAACTAAGATTAAGCATCTATCATCAGTTCTACACAAGAAGGTGAGTTGCCTCTTTGTATGTCATTTTTCTTAAACATATTATTGTGTTTGTGGATCAATGACTAGAATTCTCTTCCATAGATGGTTTGTATGATAAACTATTTGATGTGCAGACTTTATTCTGCTGGCTGCATGATAATTGAATGAATGCTTCTATTAGGAAGGAATGGCCTTTTAAAAGTTGTAATCAACTAATAAGTAGTATTTTTTTTTGCACTACAATAAGATGAGTGATAGCCGTATGATTTTATATCCTTACAAAGGAAAACACATCAATAATGTGTGACCATAGTTGGATTTTCTACCATACGGGTTAGAACTTTGACTTGAACTAGTATTTTAAATATTTTTTTCTAAAAAGCAATTTGATCTGATTTCGTCTGGCTCTAGCTTTATTTGGTGGTATCTTCTATTAAACTGTATGTACGTTCAGTTATAGGTAAAAGCATATGATTTGATATAAGTTTCCGGACTTGTTTTATTCAGATATTGAAGAGTCCTAGTTTCCTATATTATATGAGTGTTTAACTTGGTGGACAATGTGATTTTATAGCTCCAATTGATCCCTAGTGCAGAGCAAATATGTTGAATGTTGTTATGACTTCTGTTAATAAAATTTGAATATGGCCACAGATAGAATTTTGAATTCGTGACTGCGTACTGTGCTCAATGATGTATTTAGTGTTATTTGACCAGCCTATCCTTAAGGGGGTGTTTGGTTGGGGGAAAATGTTGAGATAGATGGGTAAGTGAGAAATGGGAATATCCCTACACCATGTTTGGTTGAGCCAACTTCCATATTTACCTACCTAAATCACTATCCTACCTATCCAAGATGCATATCTATTTCATGGAGATACCCGACATACTGTTTCCCTTTGATCATGTGGTATTCACCTTATATCCTCATCAGTAGACACACAGAACAAACTGATTTGGTTAATCGTTGCTCTCACAGTTGGAAACTATGCTGCTTAAGTGTCATATTTACATGTATCCATTTGCCGTAAATATGTTACTTTGTTCCATTTTAAAATCAGGGTTATTTTCGTAATACCAACTTGCTTTTTCCATCTATATTTTACCTCCAACCAAACATAGATTTCATAAAAGTTACTTAATTTCCCCAGTAAAGTTTTTTCCCACCAAACAACTTTTTTTTACATTTTCCTACCTATCTCACTTTATCTCATTTTCCAACCATTTTCCGATCAATTACATTTTCCTAGTATTCAAGAATTTTTTTCCTGAACCAAACGCCTCCTATCAGATATTACCCTTTTATACTAGTCCTTTCACTTATTCCCTGTCAAATAGGGCAAATTCTTATGCAGACCTACTGCATGTTTGGTTCAGCTTAATTATGTAGAAATAAAGCTGCCAAAAAAAGCAATTACTTTCCGAAAACAAGCTAATCCAAACAGTCTGCTAGTCTAATTTTACTTTGTGAACTTTAACTGTTCAAAATTGTTCTGTGCAGTGTAACCCAGTGATTTTTATGTAGGGTCCCTTGAATCCACAAAGTAAATTTAGACTATGTATAAAGTCTATACAAGTATCTTTGCAAAATAGATGGTGATAATCCGACATAGAATTACTATTTTATCCCTGATTCAATTTATCATTTTGATGCTTTAGGATGTGCATTCTCGAAAAGGCCTGGTAGCAATGGTTCAGAGGAGAAAAAGATTACTGAAATACCTCAGAAGAACTGACTGGGAATCCTATTGTTTTGTTATCTCTAAGCTAGGTCTACGAGATAATCCTGATTATACTTATAAAGGTCGATCTGCTCAGGCAACGAGCTCATAGGGTCACTCTGGTAGTAGGATTGAAAAAAAAAAAAAAAAAACCTGAATAACATAAAAACCAAACTGGAAAAAAGAGAGAAAAAAAATTACAAGCCAGCTGGGTAGTCCAGGTTTTATCCAGTCCGAGTAACCAGGTCAATCAGGGTTTGACTGTTTTAAACCAAACTGAACAAGTGACTGAGTCACCGGTTTTCCAGGTCAGGGTTTTCAACTACGATTCACATATCAATTCCTGAAAAAATGCCCTAGTCCAATTTTCTTTTTCTGTACTAGATTAAGATTCATATTATGGTCAGCCCATTTTATTATTTTTTACCATTTCTGGGTTGAATTTATGAAAAATGTTTAATTTATTGTACATTATTTATTTTGTACGTTTTCTAATTGGTCTGTTCCACTAGAATTTATAATGTATCGTGATGGGAAACAGTTAGTTAGGTTAGTAAAATTAAAATACTCTGTTTTGGTTCACTTATGATATTTTATAAAGGATCTCAACATATTAGTACACGGAGTAATCTCAATTTTGTAACAAGATAGTAGCATGGTAATTTAAAGTGGAATGCTTTTTCTGTTATAATTGAGTCAGCAATATGCAGAAGTGGGAGTTTTTATTATGATTTCAACAGTTGGCTTTTCTGTCTTTTTAAATTTGTACTAAAGTTTGAAGTTGTAAGAAAAGCAAAAGGTGAAAGTGGTTTAGTACACCAACCAAAAATTGTTTTTTCTTAAAGAATTTTGACATAAATGTAGTCTTTTATTCATGAATATTAATATAATTTTTTTTTAAAAATTTAATTTATTCTTTTAATTATGAAAATATCATCAACTTAGTTTAATCATGAAAATTATAGTATCCAAAAAAGTTATTATCAATTTAATTGATGATGTATATTGGCATGTATGAGAAGCAACTTGTTCACCCAATTATACAAATTATTGCAGTATATGACCAAATTAATTTGACTATTATAGTACATGAGCCATGTAATGTGTGGACGAGGCCAATAAAAAAAAGAAAATAAACAAAAACAAAAAACAAAGAGTCTGTCTACGGGCATAACAAGCACGGGTGGAAACACACGTGTCTGACTAAGTTTTGGCTTAAATGATTCATATTTGTGTAAAATAATTTAGGTCTAACATGAGTTGTTAGTGTTGTGTAAGTCTAATGTAATCTTTATTTAAAAAATAAAAGTATTAGTCTAGGTTTATTTAAGTTTATTGGACATTTAATAATTAAAAAATAATTAAAATAATATCATTTTATTATTTAAGGTTATTAAAATAATATTTTATTTAAAAATAATAATATAATATAGACCAGTCTGTAAGCTTATAGACCTGACATGTAAAAGAAAACTTGTTGTCTATTTTCTAAATACATTTTTTTAAGCTTGAACGTGTTATATTTGACTATATGTTATAGGTCAAGTCTAGTCTGATGTAAATTGAATCATAAACGCCTGTTAAGCTGACTGACCCATTTATACAAAATTAACAAGCACGCTATTTAATAATGTTTTTGTAGAATATGATTTAATTAATTAAATCAATATATTATATGACTACTAAAAAAAATCAATATGTTATATTTGCTATTATGATAATTTTGCATAATAAATTTTTATTATTTATAAAGAATCAATCCCGCACTAAATATTGTGATGTGTAACATTTAACTAGCGTGACAGGCGTGATATGATTTTTTCTATAATCATATGATTCATTGACAATGAAAATAAGTCATAAAATATATATAAGAGGAGTTGTTGGAAATTCCCACCGAATTCCAACGTCATCGTCTCATCGAGTCCTAGGATTAATTAAAAAAGTCAATAAGCAACAACATTATTTCCATCATAAATATTAAAAAAAATTGATGAAAATAATGGCTTCAATAGTAAAATACCATAAAGTAAAACACGGAATTCCAACAAATCTTGAGTACCTAACCTCAAGCATACAATAATTTTTCTCTGATGATGTTTTATTTCACATAATAAAATCTTTAATAAATAAAATGTATTTAGAATAATATCCGCCATTACAACAGATAGAAAATAATAATAAAACCCACTATTATATCTCTAAAATTACATATTAAGATATTCCTAACACAGTCATCTTTAAATATAAAATCTCTAAAAAATATCTTGTTGCCATTTACGTAGCCTCTCTCAGGTAAAAAAAAGTGATCATATGATCATGTTATTTGATTACAGTCACTCATTTAATGATGAGATAAGAGAAAGAAAATTGTATAATTTTTAAATGAGTGATTGTGATCAAATAACATGACCATATGATCACTTTTTTACATAAAAAGATCCATTCCCAAGCTTCCATGATTTGTGGAGAATAGGTAGCAACGCAAAGCATTGAACCAGCAACATAGAAAAAGCAACCATAAGTGATAAGTTGTAACCACCGTATTCATATTTCATATCACCTAAATTTGACGCTAAAAAAAAAAAGATACATCAACATTAACTTGAACTCAAAGCAGGTGAATTTTATTTCCTTCTATTTCTTGGTTGGAGGAACGGTCTTGGATCTCGAAAAGTTATATATTCGGTTTGTGTAAATGAGCATCACTTTTTTTCTTTTTGTAATTTAGGGTAGAAATTATTATTATTTTCTTTATCCTGTGACGTTTATTTGTCTACTACTGCGTTGAAGTGATAATAACGAAGAGGCAGTGATTTTTCTTTCACGCAAATTCGGATAAGTGTGGTGTTTTTCATTCTTATCTTCTCGCTACAAGTATTTTTAAAGTATGTCATTTGGAAATGGATCCACCTTTTAATTAACATGCCTATGTAATGTAGATGAATTATAATTGACTTTAATATTTCTATAGTAAATGTAGATAAATTATCTATATTCTGGCTTTCAAAATGATATTGTTTTAGTTTAAAAAATTAAAAATTATAATAAAAAAGACTATTATAATCTTAAAATAAATTATAATTATAAAAATATCTTGATTTTCGTTTCAAAATAATATCATTTTGAATTTAATATAGATAAGTTATCACATTAACTATAGAAAAACTAAACCCATTATAATTATATAAAATAAATTAAATCAACAGTTATAATTTTATAATTATTTATTTTAATTTTTTTTATTATTATTAATTGATCTTCATATGATTATAATTTCACACATCAGATGCTCATGTTTATTAGGACACGAGATGGTTGACTTCTTTGCTACTTTTGTTTGGGGAATTTAAGGTTTATATGTTTTTTTTTTTTACATACATAGGCATTGTTGTTTTATTATACCCTTTCTATATTTTTATTAGAAATAATTTCATAATAGTCTAACAAATGAATGAATATAAATAATTATAGTTTATGATCCAATGTGCTCCTTATATAAAAATCTTTGACCTGTGGGGGGAAGAAGGATTCGCGAACTCGCTTCGGATAAGGAAATAACCATGGCAGCTTCAGCAGCAGCAAAGAAGGTATGCGTAACTGGGGCAGGAGGTTTTGTAGCTTCTTGGCTCGTTAAGGTTCTTCTTTCCAAAGGATACATCGTTCATGGAACTGTCAGACAACCTGGTACTCTTTATTTCCTCTTTCTCTCTCCCATCATTCCTTTTTTTTTTTTTAACTCTTTTAACCAAAGATCTTATTAATCATTGGATAAGACCCTTTTTAAATTACTGCTAAACTGAATCCTTAAAAAATATTCTTTTTGAAATCTCAGTTACTCTTTTTTGATTCAGGATGCTTATTATTATACTTCATGGAAATCATGGGTGTTATGTTTTCCATAGAAATGTTGAGGAGGATTTTGTTATTGTTCATTTGAAGTGTATGTGTGACCAGGTAGTCAGAAATATGAGCACTTGCTGAAACTAGAGAGAGCTTCTGAGAACCTTAAACTCTTCAAGGCTGATCTCTTGAGTTACGAATCTGTTCACTCAGCAATTGTTGGATGCAGTGCAGTTTTCCATGTTGCTAGCCCTGTACCCTCAACAATTGTACCCAATCCTGAGGCAAGCATCTACTTCTACATCATGCAATTTCTTTGGTTTAATTTTTTTTAAGTACATATATTTGGAATGTTTTCTTCTTTGCAAACTGATTTGATTTACTTATGTCAATCTCATTTTCTAACCTAGGCCTTCATCCTGACCAGGTATAATGATCTTCAGCAGTTAAATTTTAACTGCAGATATCTCAACCATTGAAATTGTTATTTTTTTTTTATTAAAATAACGAATGAAAATGTTGTTTGGAATGTTATGATTCATTGGATTCATAATTGCATGCACTAACACGAGAGAGATCACATACAACGGCTCAAGGTGTAACATCTCAGCTATCACTTGCAACAGCTCAAGATGCAGCAGTAGGATCACCTCATGCAGTGTCCTTAGTATATGCACCAGCCAATAATCACGATAGATAGCAACTGAAGTTTGTTAGTGTTTAGTTATTCTGATTAGTTTTTCTGTTAGTATTAGTTAGTTATTTTTATTGTGTGAAGCTTCATAAAGCTCACCTATATATTGCTGAGACCTTCTGTAAAACTTATTAGATTTTTCCAGAAATAATATTCAGTTTTAATCCATATCATGAAACGCATGGTTTCTGTTATGGTATCAGAGCTTGTGAGCTCTGGTATTCTGCCTTCGTTCATCTTCCCTGTTCTTTACTTTTCTCATCTTTCTTGATTCTTTTCTTCATAGCTTCAGCCTACGACAATGGCGAATCCTGATTTTGCTTTGGATTTTAATACCAATCCTTCTCATCCTCTTTTCTTGCATCCTAATGAGAATCCTTCTTTGATTCTTGTATCTCCACTGCTGAACGGAAGCAACTATCACACCTGGGCCAGAGGTATGACAGTTGCCTTGTTTTCGAAAAACAAGATTTGCCTCGTGGATGGTTCTATCAATCCTCCAGCAACAGATGATCCAGTTTATCTTCAATGGCAAAGGTGCAACACCATGGTGATGGCCTGGATTCACAGATCCATATCTGATGGAATTGCAAAATCCATTTTATGGATTGAACGTGCAAGGGACGTATGGCTTGATCTACGTGATTGTTTTTCGCAGACTGACATATTCAGAGTTTCTGATCTTCAAGAAGAAGTATATAAGTTGCATCAAGGAAACTCTGCGGTAACTGAATTTTTTACTCAGCTCAAAACCATGTGGGATGAGCTTGAGAACTTGAAACCGCTTCCTAACTGTGAATGTGATCCTCCTTGTGAGTGTGGAGTGATCTTGAAAATGCGAGACTATCGCGATAAGGACCACACAATCCGTTTTCTCAAAGGATTAAATGACCAGTATGCATCTGTTAGATCACAGATCATTCCCATTGATCCTCTGCCTAATGTGAACAAAGCCTTTTCGATGATTGTACAACAGGAAAGGCAACTTAGTTGTGATTCAAATGCTGGTATTTTAAGTAATCCACAGAGCTTTGCTGGTTTAAATAATACTCATGCAGCAACTGGTTTTAAGCCACGAAGAAACTTCAATCAATTTGCTGGAAGGAATGGTCGAGGCCAAGGTCGTGGTAGGTTCAGTGGAGGCCGTGGGAACAGAATCTGTACATATTGTGGTCGTTCAAATCATACCATAGAGACATGCTATCAACTACATGGATATCCACCAGGGTATCGTGCACGAGTACCAGAAGTCCATACCAGTAATCTTGCATTCAGTGTGAATGATGATGGTGCAACTGATCGTGCTCAACAACAACCTTAAAATACCAATCCTCAAATCACTCATGAACAATATCAACACCTCATGACACTCCTTCAACAACCTAACACTCAATCCACACACGTTGCAAATATTGCATAGGTCTCACAAACTGACACAAACACCTCAGGTATATCACTTAATCAATGGATCATAGACACTGGAGCTACTGATCACATAAGTTTTGTTGCTTCAAATTTTTCTTCTCTTCGAAATATTAGTCCCATAACTATAAAATTGCCTGATGGTTCACAAGTTACATCACATCAATCTGGTTCGGTTGTTTTATCATCCACTCTTACTCTATTAAATGTACTATATGTACCCCATTTTCATGTCAACTTGCTTTCTGTTACACAGCTTCTTTCATCCATTGATTGTTATATAACTTTCCATGGTTGCTCTTGTTTGATTAAACAGACTTTGTCCCAGGAAACGATTGGTTCTGCTTCTGCAGAATGGCCTATATGTGATAGTTCAGTGTATGAAGATGCCTCAAGATCTTGCTGCACGATGTTCGAATAGTTGTAATTCTGTTAATAAATCTGGCACTTCAGATATTTCCCTTTGGCATAGGCGTTTAGGCCATATTTCAGATTCTGTTTTACACAAAATGTCATCTCAGTTTTCCTTTATCAATTCCAACCATGTACATCCTTGTGATGCTTGCCATCTAGCTAAACAGAAGCATCTTTCATTTCCTGTTAGTATGAATAAAAGCACCAAAGCATTCGATTTATTACATGCTGATATTTGGGGCCCCTTTAGCATTCAATCTATTCATGGTCACAAATTCTTTTTAACCTTAGTAGATGATTTTTCGCGTTTTACTTGGATAGTTCTAATGAAACATAAGGGTGAAACTCGAAATCATATCCAACATTTTTTTGCCTTTATTGAGAATCAATTCCAAACAACAATTAAAGCATTTCGATCTGACAATGGACATGAGTTTGCCATGAAAGATTTCTTTTTACAAAAAGGAGTAATCCATCAAACAAATTGTGTAGAAACACCACAACAAAATGCTAGAGTTGAAAGAAAACATCAACACTTGTTAAATGTTGCACGAGCTCTTTGCTTTCAATCATCTTTACCTCTCTCATTATGGTCCTATGCTTTAACTCATGCAGTACATCTTATCAATCGGGTTTCTTCTCCCATAATCAATGATATATCCCCATATGAAATGCTATATACTGTCCCCCCTTCCCTCATTCATCTACGTGTATTTGGTAGTTTATGTTTTGCATCCACTCTCCAATCTGGTCGTCTTAAGTTTTCTCCTCGAGCTCGCAAGTCTGTTTTTCTTGGATATAGAGAAGGCACCAAAGGTTTTCTCTTATATGATCTTTCTTCTCCTGCTATTTTTGTGTCACGTTATGTAATATTCTATGAAAATCAATTTCCTTTTCACATCAGTCATTCTGATTCTCCCCAATGCTATGTCTCCCCACCTGATCTCACCACTTCCCTTGACATGGAACTCAAATTCTCTTTACCAACCACAACTAGCTCAGGCCAATCTCCTCCCTCTTCTACAATACACCCACCTCCACCTTTAGACACTCATCCCTCTCCACCACTATCCACTATTGATACTCCACCACCACTCGTAGATAATTCACTATCCATTATTAATAACCAACCACCAGTAGATATTCCCCCTTCAATTGTCCCTCCTCATCACTCCTCTCGTCCTCGTTCTGCACCAAAGTACTTGATGGACTATCACTATGGTTTTCTGCTGCTCAGCATGACACATCAAATCCAAGTTTGTCTAATACATCCTCATCTATTATTTCTCACCCCTTGTCTTCTGTTATCTCTTATAATATCTGCTGTCCTGCTTATAAACATTTCTGTCTCACTTCTTCCACACACGTTGAACCACGATCTTACTCACAAGCCATCAAGCATTCACACTGGATCTAAGCTATGCAGGCTGAACTTTCTGCCCTCTCCCTAAACAATACATGGTCTTTGGTTGAATTACCAAATGGCAAGCAACCCATAGGATGCAAGTGGGTCTATAAAATCAAGTATCACTCGGATGGGTCCATTGAACGATTTAAGGCTAGGTTAGTTGCAAAAGGTTTCAATCAATTGGAAGGACTTGATTACTTCGATACCTTCTCGCCTGTAGCTAAACTCACTTCCGTGCGTACTCTCCTAGCCGTTGCAGCTCTCAAGGGCTGGCACTTGACTCAACTAGATGTGAACAACGCGTTTCTACACGGTGACCTGAATGAGGATGTTTACATGGAAATTCCTCAAGGTTTCTCAGTGCCTGGTACCAACCGGAATCTTGTCTGCAAACTACAGAAATCCCTATACGGCTTGAAGCAGGCGAGCAGGCAATGGTATGCCAAGCTCTCTTCTGCCATGCTTTCCCTTGGATATAAGCAAGGTCATGCTGATCATTCCATGTTTACCTTTGAATCTGGCAATCCCTTTACTATACTCTTGGTTTACGTTGATGATGTTATCCTCTCTGGCAATTCTGCTGCTGAAATAAACCGTGTGAAGCAGTTCCTGGATCTCCAATTTAAAATCAAGGACCTTGGCACATTGCGTTATTTCTTGGGCCTTGAGGTGGCTCGTTCCGATACTGGCATTTCTCTTAACCAGCGCAAATATGCACTGGAGTTGATTGCTGACGCTGGTCTCTTGGCTGCTAAGCCTGTTCATACTCCCATGGACACTTCCACCAAGCTTGGTCGTCATAATGGTGTTCCTCTTTCGGATGCAGCTCCTTATCGCCGGCTCATTGGACGCTTACTTTACCTAACAACTATGAGACCGGACATATGTTTTGCTGTACAGCAGCTTTCACAATTTGTTTCTTGTCCTACTGATCTCCATCTGGATGCTGCCCACCGTGTCCTACGCTACCTCAAGTCGTCTCCTGGTGCTAGCTTATTCTTTCCATCTACTGGGTCTCTCTCTGTTAGTGCCTTCGCTGATGTAGACTGGGCTTGCTGCCCTGACACTCGCCGTTCTGTATCTGGCTTCTGTGTGTTCGTTGGCTCTTCCCTCATTGCCTGGCGTAGCCAGAAGCAGTCCACCGTTTCACGTTCTTCGTCGGAGGCGGAATATCGAGCTCTAGCTGGCTTATCCTGTGAGTTACAATGGCTGCAATTTCTGTTCCATGATCTTCATCTTCCCTGGATGAAACCTGCTTCTGTGTTCTGTGACAATCGTTTCGCGATCTACATCGCTCATAATCCCACTTTTCATGACAGATCCAAACATATCGAGTTGGATTGTCATGTCACACGAGAGAAGATCCTATCTGGCTTACTTCGATTGCTTCCTGTTCTTTCTTCTGCTCAATTGGCTGATGTGTTCACCAAGCCTCTCTCTAGTCCTTTGTTTCACTCTTTTCTCTCCAAGTTGGGTGTTGTCAACCTCCTATGCCAAACTTGTGAGGGGGTAACACGAGAGAGATCACATACAACGGCTCAAGGTGTAACATCTCAGCTATCACTTGCAACAGCTCAAGATGCAGCAGTAGGATCACCTCAAGCAGTGTCCTTAGTATATGCACCAGCCAATAATCACGATAGATAGCAACTGAATTTTGTTAGTGTTTAGTTATTCTGATTAGTTTTTCTGTTAGTATTAGTTAGTTATTTTTATTGTGTGAAGCTTCATAAAGCTCACCTATATATTGCTGAGACCTTCTGTAAAACTTATTAGATTTTTCCAGAAATAATATTCAGTTTTAATCCATATCATGAAACGCATGGTTTCTGTTATGCACTGCAGCTAAAAAGTGAAATGCAGGGTATCCGGTTCCTTCATTAAGTTAAAAGGATTTAATTTATTCATCTATGTCATTAAAATTGTTCCGAACTCATTTTGGAATTCATGTACATTTGAGATTTCATCAGTTCATGGTGGAATTTACAAATGGTCATTTATAATGCCATAGTTCTTTTTTCTTTTATTGTAAATATTCATTACTAGACATATGATTGTGTAGGTAGAAGTGATTGAGCCTGCTGTGAAGGGAACTGCTAATGTACTTGAAGCTTGTCTTAAAGCTAAAGTGGAACGAGTTGTCTTTGTATCATCTATTGCTGCGATTGGCATGAACCCCAATTTCTCTAAGGATAAAGTGCTTGATGAGTCCTGTTGGTCCGATAAAGAGTACTGCAGAAAAAGTAAGGTCTGTAAAATTTTATTACACGTGTGATTATGATATGGATCTTTCATTGGTCTTATCCCATGATAGTAGTGTTGTCTTTTGTTGGGTATACTATTTGATTTCATATTTTTTCAGTTGCAAAGTATGCCAAGTTCCCATTGTCAAGAATATTTATGTAATGTGACAGTAAGGAATTATTTCAACCTATAAATTCTTGTTAGGTGAAAACTATATTAACGGTTTTATATTATATTTCTCTAACAATAACTTAACTCATATTTCGCATATTATCCAGAACTGGTATTGTTTTTCCAAGACAGAGGCAGAGGAGCAAGCCCTGGACTTTGCTAAAAGAACCGGGCTTAGTGTGGTAAGCATTTGTCCTACCCTTGTGCTGGGGCCAATTTTACAGTCAACTACTGTTAATTCTAGTAGCTTGGTTCTCCTCAAGATTTTAAAAGGTGCCTACTATTCCTTATCAATTTATTCTTCTTGCAATGTGTTAGAGTAGTATGTTAAAATAGTACAATGTATATAATAGAATAGTCCCAAATTTTGTATATGATAAATTAGTTTTTGTACTTGTTAATATAAATATTTTCCCTGTGTGCTCGTATTAGACACACAATTATCCAATCTTAAGTTGGTATCAGAGCTCTTTGTTCTAGGAACTTTCGCTTCCGCAAAACCCTAAGCCCACTGCTTAGGTGTTTTCTCCTTCCTTGTCATGCGTCCTTCCGGCTTGCAACTGTTAGAGCCTCTATTCACTGGCGTCACTGTTCATAAGATAACTATTTACTGGAGTTACTGTTCACCACAACTGTTCATTGCCGAAACACTGTTCCGACATCCTTTAACTGCTCGTTTTTCTATCCTCCTTCCAGATCTGCTATTGGTTTTTCGTGAGTCTCTTGTTTGGCTTGTGTTTCGTCTTGTTTGGCTATCAGTTTGATTCTATTTGGTTTGATCTACAAGTTTTTTTTGCATTTATAATGACAGAATCATCTGCTGTTCACTTAGAGGTGAATTCTCCTCCTCCTCCTGTTAAAAGTTCCTCGGGTATCATCTCCTCTAATGTTGGGCCCATTACCTTCTCCAATCTGAAGGGTTCTGTTAACTACAAGAATTGGGCCACCTCTTTTTGTGTCTAGCTATGTTACACTGACACCGACTCAGGACACGACACGACACTCCGATACGTTAATTCTAAAAAATGTTAGATTTTGACACGTTGGGACACGTTTTGATATTAAATAATATTTTTAATTTGTGTAATGTATATTATATTTAATATTCAATAATTTAACAAAAAGATGAAGCTAAACTTATAATACCCATCATTTTTGAAAAGAAATATAATATATAACTAAAATTTATATTAAACTCAATAAAATGGTAATCGTAATCCAACGAATCTAATAGTTGAAACTAAAAACGCAACGTAACGCAATCTTTGAACTCTTTTTTGAGTCTCTGCAACGTGTGTTGGAGTGTCGGACACGATACGTCAGGTTTTTTGATGTGTCGGTGCTTCATAGGTGTTTGGTTCTTTGGACAAGCGCATGGGCGACATTTGACAGTTAAATCTACTGCTATTCCTAAGGAAGAAAAATCTGATTGGGAAATGATTGACAACCAACTTCTGAGTATTCTTTGGAAGTCTATTGGTCCAATCGTTCTCGACATTTTCTATTCTTTTCAGACCTGCTATGAAGTGTGGGAGTAAGCTAAACACCTCTACACTAATGACATTCAGATGGAGACATATGTTGGCAAAAGTCGATCTTTGATGCAGGCGTACTTGGATATGTTGCCTTACCCTATTGATGCTTCTGCATATAGAAAACAGGTGGAGCGCCTCTTTATGGTTGCCACTCTTTTTGGTCTTCTCGAGGAGTATGATAGTGTCCGTGACACTATCTTGACTAGTGGGGATCCTGGTTTATTACTGACTTACTAGCGCTCTTTTGAATCTCAACAAAAAATCAGCGCCTGCTCTTGATTCATCTTCTGTTGTTGATTCCATTGCTCTTGTTTCCCGTACTTACTCTCGCGGGAGCAATACACATGGTTGTGGCTAGTCAGTTCCTTGACTGCCCTTGTGATTCTCATTGGGATGCTGCTGTGAGGGTTCTCCGGTACATCAAAAGAGCACCAGGGAAAGGCTTATTATATTCAGATCAGGGACATACAGAGATTTGTGGTTATTTAGATGCCTATTGGCTAGGATCACCCTCGGATAGACGCTCTTCTTCAGGTTATTGTATCGTCTTTGGTGGAAACTTGATTTCTTGGAAGAGTAAGAAACAAATTGTTGTCATCCGATCCAGTGCAAAGGTCGAGTATCATGCAATGGGAGCTGCCACCTGCGAACTAATCTGGTTAAAGCAGTTAATTCGGGAGCTCCATCTTTGTGAACATAAACAGTCCATGACACTCATTTGTGACAATCAAGCTGCACTTCATATATCATCTAATCCTGTATTTCATGACAGAACCAAGCACATAGAGATCGATTGTCACTTCATTTGAGAAAAGATTTAGTCAGGAGAAATCAAAACGACATTTGTCAACTCCAAGAATCAATTCGCAGATGTCTTCACTAAAGCTCTTAGAGGTCCTCGGGTTGAATACATTTGTAACAAGCTGGTACAATTAGTTAAAAGAATGAAATTGGCTGATATTATGACAATAGTAGGTAGCATAGATATCATAATGGGAGAAGTTGATCACAATTTATACGCATCAACTTGGGGGAGTGTTAGAATAGTATGTTAAAATAGTACAATGTATATAATAGAATAGTCCAACATCTTGTATATGATAGATTAGTTTCTGTACTTGTTAATATAAAGATATTCCCTGTGTGCTCGTATTAGACACACAATTATCCAATCTTAAGTCAATATACCAATTTACAACCTGTGCAATGCTATTTAAAATGCCTTGTTGTTTTACATGATAATCATATATCTTCCGTAACATCTTTGGTCATGTGAAAGTTGTGTTAAATTTTTAGTGTGCAAAACAGTTTCAGAGGTTGGCCTTAGCAATTTATTTGATACTGGAGTCATGTCTGGTCATCACGATTATGCTCTTCATGGGGATTTTATATATTTTTGATGCTATTGGGCTTGTCTTTCTTGTTTGTCTGAAATTGTAGGTTCTGACTCGTTGGAGAATAAGCATCGTTGGATAGTAGATGTACGAGATTTAGTTGATGCTTTACTTTTGGCATATGAGAAGCATGAGGCAGAAGGGAGATACATATGCACTTCATTCCCAATCAAGACACAGGATTTGGTGGAGAAACTAAAGAGTATATATCCCAACTACAATTACCCTACGAAGTAAGCTTCAGTTCCCCATGATCTATAAATCAAAAGGAAAATTCTCAAGTAGTAGTTATAAACTTCGGATTTGATGCACCAATCTCACAATCTTATTTATGACCAAGAGCTCTAGCTATTGTGTTTAACCTAAAATTCTAATTTCAAGATTATTATTATTAGTTTCTTATTTTATTGATTCAAATCTTGTAATTAGTATCAAGATATATACGAGGCATGTAAGATATGTGATAAATGTATGCAAGATATCTTGTAATAAGTATCAAGATCTATACACATTGATAAATGGTTTGCAACTTTGTCCGTGGATTTGAACTCTTCTGCATATCACTTCTCATATAGGAATGTTAGGCCGAACCACGTTAAAATTGTGTGTAATTTGAAGCATTTCTTAAGTACTAGTATTTATAGTATAGAAGGAGAAGCCAACAAATTTGTTTATATATATTTCATAGTTACATGCTTAAACATAAGTTTCATTGTTGGCAGCTTTATTGAGGTGGATGATTACAGAGTTTTGAGCTCAGAGAAACTGCAAAGGTTGGGTTGGAAATACAGGCCACTAGAGGAGACACTCATTGATTCTGTTGAGAGCTATCGGGAGGCTGGACTCTTGCAATCAGAATAGATTTGAATTGTTATTTATCATCTCCCTATTGGGAGGTTGGTCTCCTTGAATCAAAATAAATGTAACTTGTTATTTATGATCTTCCTTATTGGAAGGGATTTGTGAATGTCTTTCAGTTACTACCATGTGCTTGTGCTGTTTGATCACTGTAGTTGTATTGTATTTGACTAATGAGTGCTTTTAAATTCAGGATTTCCAAACACAGATGGCCAGTGTTCTTAAATATTGGAGCTTGTCAACGTTTTTGACTTGAAACGCTTTCCAATGAAGAAGAACATCGAGTCTTCTGCCGAAAAATTCAAGGTTTATGGTTCTCAGGTTTAGAATGGTATCTAGTTTGGAAATTGTAAGATTTTTATATTGGAAACCTTGAGACTAGTCTTACTCGACTGGTAACATAAGGATATAGTTTTCAGTACTATATGTTTGTGAAAGTGAAGTCTGTGACTGTGAAGATATGATGAGATGCTTTCTAATTTTTCAGCCAAGCTTTAATATTTGAAAAGTGAAATGAAGAAAGGATTCATTTTTCCCCCTTCATAGTTTAAAGGTAAGATTGTTTTTACAATGCACATGTAAATATATTTTTATTTTTAATTTAATTTTAAGTGTATCATAATTTTAATCCATTAAATCTAAAGGTAGGTAACTTTTATTTATGTACTTTAGAAATAAGTTTGCTTAATAAAACTAAATTAAATTAATATTATCATTTTATTAATATTTTTTCTTATTCTGTTTAGTGAAGACATCAAGACAAATATATAATGTTGAAAAAAAATAGAGATAGGTTATCTATCTTTTTTTCTGTCTATCTTTGCCTATCACTGTAAAACATCGTTAGATCAGAATCTCATTTAACATTTATCTTTTCCCCTTCTCTTGAGATTCTGATCTAATGGTGTTGGAGAGTAGTAGATAAAAGTAGGCAGAAAAAAAGAAAGATAGAATAACCTATCTCAAAAAATTAATACTTCATTTTTTTAAACAACTGATGAATTGGTGTAAATTTTTTTTAGAACAACAAATAATTTAATAATTTCTTTCCAACAGTGCAGGCCTCAACTTTTGCATTGAACATAAAAATACATACACTTAAAAAAAAAAAAAAAAGCCACAAACACAGCTTGCAACTCACTTATCATAAGAATGCTATCAATGCACACATGATTCTTAATACTGTCTAACAGACAAAGGCAGGATCCCATATAACATTGAGTTTCCTCTACTCAGTAATAAACACTAACACCAGAAGGTGTGATTATTTTTCTCAATGATGGCCTTGAAAATGTCAAACCAGCAACAAAATCATCAGGCACCGAACCACAATTCTTTAAATTTAACTCTTCCAATGCTCTACAGTTTTCTACTACTTCCCTCACCCCCTTTGCAGTAACATACCAACAACTCTGGATATCTAGAAGTAGTAGTCTACAACACTTCTTTGAGATTATTGAGAGTCCTTCATCGTTAATTCTTGACCCTGACAAGTTCAACACCTCCAACTGGGAAACTTGAAAGTTTATCATAAACAGCTTCATTCCTGTATAGGCCAAGCTTAAATGCCTTATCTCACAGCATCTCTTTAAAATCTCAACAACACATTCTCCTGAGATACCCTCACAAGAGTTTAAGTCAAGAAGCTGTAAACCAGGGAAAATTGAAGCAAATTTTATTAAATTTGCATCGTTTAGTAAAATATTATCACCCAAATAGACAGTTTTCACTTGAAGGTTGACAACAACATCCAGCATGGAACCTTCTTCCCCTTCTAACCCGAGAGATGTTCTCTCCATTTTGATCTCACTGAGCAAAGGACAGCTTCTTGTTAGTATGCAAAAGGTTGAATTTGTCAGCTGGCAACAACCACTAAGGTTTATAGAGGTTAAATTAAGTAGAAATATAGATAACTTGCTGATACATTGATCAGTTAGAAAGTCAGCTTTCCGAAGATCTAAGCATTGAACAGATTGACATTTTGATAACACATAAGATATTCCAGCAAATGTATGATTGCAGCAATCTTGAAGGATAAGCTTCTTTAGCAGAAGACCACTACCCTCTGCAACAGCAAAGAGAAACTCATCCGAGATGAATGAATTTGACAAATCAATAGCAGTTAATCTTTTCAAGCTTCTGAATGAATCAATCAAATCTAAGTTGATGGGTATGAGTGTCAAACCAGGTCCATGTATTCTTTTCTTTTCAATGTCAAAGGAGATGGAAGTTAAACTGGGTCTGAGGTTAATTGCAGAAGCAATGCCTACTTGGGTTATTTTAAAACAGTTGAAGAATGAAATTTCTTTTATTGACATACAGTTTTGGCATAGAGAGAAAAGGGATTTATCAGTGATCAAGTAATTACCAGAAAGATTAATCTTGTGTAGATTCTCAAGCATGGAAGAAAGCCTTAACATCCCAAAATCAGATGCTTGAGAATTCAATGGAAAGCTAATGTCAAGCTCTTCAAGGAAAGGGAAACAATAAGCTATGACTACCAGATGGCTATCATGCAGAGAGCCAATATTTGAGCAGATCAAAACCCTCAAATTTATCATCTTTGAACCAAGTTTTCGCAACCCATCAATGGGAAGTGTTCTCTGGTTGGAAAGATTAATCAAATCAAGGTCCAACCCAGAATGTGAAATTTGATGAAGCAAGCCTTCCAGGTCTCCTCCATTGAAGTGACTGAGGTCTAAAATTTTGAGCCTAGAAAACCTCAACAATAGCTGAGGAATAAGTGGAATGGTTGGATCATATACTGTGAGAGAAAATTGAAGCCTGTTTGTAATGGAAAGGAACTGCTTGCAGACCATAGATACAGACTCCAAGTGACGGCCATGGCCAAGGAATCTGAAGACCAATTCCCAGCATTCTTGAGGAAAATCTTTCACTGGCATCTTGATAAGTATCTATCAAGCAGAAAGAAACAAAGAACAAGTTTGGAACTTGAAGCAAAAGTTATTATAAGAGGGAGGGGTGGTACAAGTTATCAAGTGACAATATAATCAATGGCTTATGATTCATCAACAAATCAACCCCATTCATTCAATGGATATTTAACAAGTTCAGGGTGTTGGTCTTAAGTTATGGTCAGATCAGTCGGCGTCCAAGTTATGAAACTCTAGAAAGCCATTTTGCTTGTTAGGTACGCTGGCATCTGATATGGTGATCTGTTATTTTCACTTTTCAGGATTTTACTTTTCATATAACTTTTTTCATTGCAGTGTGGTGTCAATGCTCAAATTTTCCATATTAACAATCATTAGTCCACCTGGAACTCTAATTGTACTCACAAAGTTTTAACATCTAGGCGTACTGCATTAAGCATGACCCTTTCTCTGCTGTCATTTTAAGTTACTGTCTTACCGAAATTATCACTGATCTAACCATGAATTTGGTATAAATGTGCAACGCACGACATCCTTGGATACAAGAATATTCAATTCATTAACGGGTAGGGAGGCACGACTTCCAAAATTAGTCATTCTTTAGATAGATTAATTTAAAATAAAAAAAATGCTATTTGCATAAAGTAATTTAAAAAACAAAAACAAACAGCCAGTAGCATTTTTATTCATTTTGATGCCATTATTTAATCTTTGCCATTAGATACGTTGCTAGTTGTTGCATCGTATCTAGTCCTACTTTGCATTTGGTTGATTTTTACATAATTTTTACACAAAAGCTGTTCTAGTCAAAAGCTGTTCTGGTCAAAAGCTTTGTCTTGGATATTTCTCATAAACTTTTCTGAATACAGAAAAAACTAATCTAAACTCTATTATTATATTCTTTAGGATTATGTTACAAAAAGCTCTTCAAAGTTGGAAACGCAAACTCTTCATCGGTCAAAAAAGGAATAAAAAAGAAGCAGCATAAAGTTGATTTTTGAAAGTTGTCAGGGCTCCTGATAAACTGAAAAGAGTAACAAAGAAGAATCCAAGTAATACAAGTGAAGGGGTAGCAGAGAAAAGCAGTACAAATCGGAACTGCATATTACTGCTTACAATGTATATTATTTACACTTCTATAAGAATTGGTTCAGGTTTTACGGCAGACAATTAGTTAAGCAATTATTATGCAAAAACTGATAAGCAAATACAACAAATGCAAATTGGTATACAGAAAAAAAAAAACTCAAGGAAACAAAAGCATCTCACATTTTATTTTAGACCTAAGAGCACTTCCAGAAACTCATACAATACAATACTAGCAAACAAGGCATCCATGACGCAAGAAGAGTTCCCTCTGGCTGTCACTAGGACGAAAACGAGGGGGAGCCATTATCTTTCTCAAAGATGGCCTTGAAAATACCATCCAAGCAACAACATTACCAGCCACTTTATAACAAGACTCCAAATTTATCTCTCTCAGTTGTGTGCAGTTTTTAACCACTTGCCTCACTCCCTTAGCTGTGACATCAGAACAATTTTCCAGGTCCAGGTGCACCAGCCCACAACAACTCTTTGAGATAACATAGAGAGCTTCATCATCAATTCCTGACCATGACAAGTTCAACACCTCCAATTTGGGAACTTCAAAGTTCATCCCAAATAGCTTCACACCTTTACAAAAGGCTAAGCTCAACTCCCTAATCTTACAGCATCTCCTTAAAACTTCAACAATACCTTCAGATATGCCACAGCAATAGCTTAAGTCAAGCAGCTGTAAATTGGGGCAAACGGAAGCAAGCATTTTGATGCTTTCATCCCTCAACCATGAATTGTGAGCTAAATGGAGAGACTTCACTTGAGGGTTTACAACAAAATCCATAAAAGAATCCTTTACCCCCCTTTTCCCAATATCTGTTACCTCCATTTGAATTTCATTGAGCAAAGGACAGTTCCTTGCCAGTGCAAAGAAGGTTGAATTGGTGAGCATCCTACAGCCACCAACGTTTATGGATACCAAATTACCAAGAAGCAAAGACAACTCAGCGACACGCTGATCATTCAGAAACTCAGCATTTTGAAGATCCAAGTGTTGGACAAATTGACACTTCGACAACAAACAAAAGATTCCAGCATAACTATAGTTACAGCAACCTTGGAGGACAAGCTTCCTCAAAGGAAGAGCTTCCTCTGCAACAGAACATAGCAACTCATCCGAGATACTCGAGCATGTAAAATCAAGACAAGTCAAGCTCTTCAAACTCACCAAAGAACCAATGAAATCTGAAGTAACATTGGGCCTTAAAAAGTCACCTTTTTTGGTACCAATCCCAAAATTGCTAACTCTCAAAGAACTCAAACTTGGTCTCTCGCGGATCGCAGAAGCAATGCCAGCTTGGGTTATGAAATGGCACTCAAAGATCACAATCTCTTGGAGAAACTCACAGTTCTTACACAGACTAAAAAGTGATGGGTTGTTAATAAAGTAATTACCAGAGAGATTAACCTTGCGAAGCTTGGGAAGCGCCAAAGACAAAGCCTTTACCCCAAAATCAGAAACGGGGTCAGTGAAATTGTTCGAATTGCAGTCTTTAGGGAAGCTGAGATCGAGTTCTTCGAGGAAAGGGAAAAAATCGGCGATGAGGAGCAAATCGGCGTTTTTGAGAGAACCCATGTTGGAGCAGCTAAGAGAGTTCAAAGTTTTCATCTTTTTGGCCAAAGATCGCAACCCATTTGAGGGAATTGTTGGGTGGTGGGAGAGATTGAGCGATTTGAGGTGCAGCGATGAACGAGAGATTTGGTGGAGAAGCGCGTCGAGGTCACCGCGGAAGCGCGTGAGGTCGAGGGAAGTGAGCGTGGGGAACCTGTGGAAGAGGCGAGGGAGAAAAGGGAGTGTTGGGTCGCAGATTGTGAGGGAGAATCGGAGGCGGTTGGTGATGGAGAGGAATTGCTTTGAAACGAGGGAGAGAGAGTCAAAGTAACGGTGGTGGTTCATGAATCTAAACACCAATTCCCAGCATTCATCGGGCAAATGTAACATTGTTGTTTTTTCTTGAATGAAATTCAAACCTCAAATTCCACACAAGATCAGACAGAATTTGTAAGCATAAGTTTGTGTTCTGGGTTCGGTTATACCAATCTGTGTTTTATATGATTTTTTTGGGAAGATTATTGTTGAGTTTCAAAATTCAAATTCAAATAAACAGAGGAGCCTTTAATCCAACTTTTGGGAAGGGTTTGATGTTTTGTAAAGGATCATACGCAACCGTGTTATTTTAAGTAAAAAATAGAGTAAAGATCCAAATTGGTTCCTAACAAAAAATCTGGTGTCCAAATTAGTCCCTCACAAAAATAAACTCGATAAATAGTCCCCAACAAAGTGAAACAGGACCCACGTTAGTCCTTCTGTCAATCCAAAACTGACGGTGTCAATGACGGTGATGACGTGTCATGTTAAGTGACATGCTGGAGGCCACGTGGGTTGAGGAACGACGTCGTTTTGAGAGACTCATCCACGTTGGTCAGTATGGTCCCTAACAGTTTTAACAAAGGGGACCAGTATGGTCCCTAACATTTTTATCGGGGTCCTTTTTAGTCCCTGCTAAAGTTCTGTTAACACCAGTGTCACCATTTGCTATTAACACACCAGTAATGGCATTTCCCCTTGTACATGCTGATATTAGTCATGCATAACACAATCAACTTCTGTATAATTCACACCATGACATTCTTAGTTTAGTCTTTATACATTGTTTCCTTTCTTTTTTTTTATCTCCATCGAGTTTATACAACATTTTGTGCCAATAAACATAACTTCAAATACATAAGCCATGCTACATACATTGCATGAACAACAATTCATTACACCAGCAAATCTCAACAGAACCACATTTTAAATTTCACTCCAGCCTACTTGCAAGATATATACATACTAGAAACACAACAATAATGGATCCAGCAAACACCCTAGCACACCTACACACATGCATCATTTCCTTCTCAACCCTTTCAAAGTATGTCTGCATCTTCAATGATATGTCTTCAATCTTTATACAGTGCTCATAAAAAAATAACGATTGAAAAAACCCTAGCACACCTACACACATGCATCATTTCCTTCTCAGCCCTTTCAAAGTCCACATGCAAGGGTTGATAGTCTGTCAAATAATCAATAGTCTGTCACCTCTACGGAACATTAAATTTTCTTGCAAGAAAAATCTGAACAAGCATAGAAACTAAAAGGAATCTTGCCACTTCAATTAGTCAAGATAGTGAATTTTACGTGCCAGATAGTGGTGAAGGAGAGGGCATTACAATTTACATGAGATTTTAATATATTATCAATAAAGATAGAAGTGAAGATAAATTAATGACAATGCTAAAGAGACTACATCCCTAAACTACTAAATATATTTTTATATAGAAACTTACGTATACGATTACATGAAAAACCTCGTAAAAAAAACAATAACTTTATTTTCTCTAATGTTGTGTCAATGTTTAGTTATATATTTTATGTATGAATGGTCGTTACTGTTTAGTTAATATCTTCAAGGTTTCATAGTCAAGCTGTGAGTCTGTGACATTATTTTGTTAATGGTTACTCTATTTTATTAAAGAAACCATTCATACACGAAGAATATGTTAATGCGTGTTCATATTTATCACATGAGACTTGTATTGGTGGCCACTGGCCATAATATTTTTCGTTCCCACTTCCATAGAGTTTATCATAAACTTGAACTTATATCAAGACTGCAACTGAAAAGCCTATATGACTAAACAGATAGACTATTGTTGTTGCTACATGGGAGAGAAATATTCTCGTGGACACACAAAATATAATATGGATTCCACTATATAGAGGAGAGAGAAAAACACAAAGTGGAATTCACATTGTATTTTATCGTGTATGAGAGGATTTTTATCCGTTGTAACATAAAAAAAGTAACACCCTTATTATTGGGTAAATGAAATAGCATGTTACATTATCATGTTACATGATGTAACATGATACTTTTACATATACAATTGAGAAGAGAGAAAAGAGATGAGAGAAAAAAAATTAAGGAATAAGACTATATAACTGTGCGTGTAGGAATATCATGTTATTATCATGTAGCATTATATTTGATTTACCCTGTTATTAGTTGTAAACAGTAGCATAAATATTTATCTTTTTGAGAGGGTAAACAAAATAACAAAAAGGATAAAGACATAACAATGGTTGGTGGAGATATCCATCTAAGCAAGCAACGGTACAACTTGACATAACAATAAAAAAGAAACTTATCCATTGGTTGTTGCCATTTTATAATGTGCTAAAGAGTTTTTTGATTCCTTCTTACTTCCTCAGATTATCGTAGCAAACTTATATTTGTCTACATTCTCTGCAATGCATAACGTATTCGATGCAGTTAAGTCCAAAGTTAGCTGCTTTAAATAAGTGTGCACTTCAAATATAGCTCAATCATGAAGCCACATGAAAGGGTTGAGAAGGCAATGATGCATGTGTGTAGGTGCGCTAGGGTTTTTTCAATCGTTATTTTTTCATGAGCACTGTATAAAGATTGAAGACATATCATTGAAGATGCAGGCAGACTTTGAAAGGGTTGAGAAGGAAATGATGCATGTGTGTAGGTGTGCTAGGGTGTTTGCTGGATCCATTATTGTTGTGTTTCTAGTATGTATATATCTTGCAAGTAGGCTGGAGTGAAATTTAAAATGTGGTTCTGTTGAAATTTGCTGGTGTAATGAATTGTTGTTAATGCAATGTATGTAGCATGGCTTATGTATTTGAAGTTATGTTTATTGGCACAAAATGTTGTATAAACTCGATGGATATAAAAAATAGGAATGGAAACAATGTATAAAGACTAAACTAAGAATGTCATGTGTGAATTATGCAGAAGTTGATTGTGTTATGCATGACTAATATCAGCATGTACAAGGGGAAATGCCATTACTGGTGTGTTAATAGCAAATGGTAACACTGGTGTTAACAGAACTTTAGCAGGGACTAAAAAGGACCCCGATAAAAATGTTAGAAACCATACTGGTCCCTTTTGTTAAAACTGTTAGGGACCATACTGACCAACGTGGATGAGTCTCTCAAAACGACGTCGTTCCTCAACCCACGTGGTCTCCAGCATGTCACTTAACGTGACACGTCATCACCGTAATTGACACTGTCAGTTTTGGATTGACAGAAGGACTAACGTGGGTCCTGTTTCACTTTGTTGGGAACTATTTATCGAGTTTATTTTTGTGAGGGACTAATTTGAGCACCGATTTTTTTGTCAGGGACCAATTTGGGTCTTTACTCTAAAAAATACATAAATAACATTAAAATTAGAGTAAACACTCTTTTTGGTCCATGGCTATATCTACGAAATCCTTTTTAATCCCTGGCAATAAAAAAGGACCAAATTAGTCCCTAAAATTATGAAAAAAGGGCCACATTAGTCCTTATGTCAACTCCTCCGTCACTAACGTGGCCCCTTTTGCATACTGTTAGGGACCAATTTGGTCCTTTTTATTGCCAGGGACTAAAAAAGATTTCGTAGATATTACCAGGGACCAAAAAGGGTGTTTACTCTTAAAATTATAAGGGAAAAAGTAAGTAATTTTTTTTTAATTTAAATTTTAAATAAAAAGATATTAATTTATATCTTTCTCTTTTTAAAATGATATAACTCTATATTTTTTAAAGAGACAAATATTCTTTCGAGTAAACACTCTTTTTGGTCCCTCGCAATATCCACGAGATCCATTTTAGTCCCTGGCAATAAAAAAAGACCAAATTGGTCCCTAAAATTACAAAAAAAGGACCACGTTAGTCCTTATGTCAACTCCTTCGTCACGGTCAAACTAACGGTGCCTATGTGACACATTAGTTTGATGACGGGGCTTGGAAGGTTGACAACTTGGATGGGCAAACGACGACGTTTTGTGCAAATGGGTTCCCAGCTTTGGAAAGTAGAGCACGACGTCGTTTCTTGGTTGATGATGAACCCTAAAAAATAAAATTCTCAAAATGCTGAATCGAACCTTCAACAGACAAAAACCCCCGAATTGATGAAGCTAACCCTAAACATGAAATAAGCCCCCAAAATCTGTGGACGTTGATGATTGTTTGTTTCAATATGACTGTCATGAGTCATGACATTTGTTGGTAGGAAAGAAAACTGAATGATGTATACCTGAAGATGGTGGAGGAGTTAGATAGGATAGACAACCAAATTAGAAATGTTGGTAGGAAAGCTAGGGTCTTAGGTGCTGTTTGTGTTGATGTGTTTATCTTGTGTATGTTTTTTGTTAGTGTGGTAACAGTCAAAAGAAGTTACCCCAATGTATTTTTCCTTCAATGATGTGTAATGAGTTATCAGTTCTGTTGTTATACCAATTAATGAAGAAGATTGTATTATATGGAGCATTCTGTGTTGGTTTGAATCTGTTTGTGTATAGTATCATATATTTGTGTATCAACTACTGCAGTACTGGATGCTAGATTGTATCTGGTTTGAATCTGTTTGGGTATAGTATCATATTTTGTGTATCAACTACTGCAGTACTGGATGCTAGTTTGCTACATTGTATCACAAACCATCCATGTACAGATATAGATGCATAAGCTGATACAAAAGTTCCATATTGTTATGCACATTTGTTAATCATGCTAAAACACGAGGGCCAATTTGGTCCCTGTCAAACTACACGAGGGCCATTTTAGTCCCTGACAAACAGCTCGGGGCCCTTATTGGTCCCTGACCAGAGAAAAATAGGACATGAGGGATTGAAACACTTGCAGTCCGAGATTACAAAACAAAAGTGCATAACACATGACTTGGAGGTCCAAGAACTACACTTTCATAACTCAGGGTTTAAAAAACATAAAACAGAACAGCTGGAACATAAGAGCTGGAACACTGCATTGCTGGAACATTCATCAACCCTGTATAGGCAGAGAATAATAGGCACATACTTGTATGCTATTGATGTGCAGTCGAAATCAACAAAACAGACCTGCATTACATCAGATATTGCTTGTTGTCCAGTTTGTTCAACAAGAATAAATGTAGTACTCAGTTAAAAATACATATGTCAGTTAAATATTTTTATGCATCACATGCATGTCCAGAATATAGCCAACTGCAACGAATGAAAAGAAATGTCATGACAGTCATATTGAAACAAACAAATGTCATGACAGTAATTACTCCAGGACCATAATGGATGTCATTAGCATTTATAAAAATTTGAAGCCAAAACCTTACTTAAACAAAATCAAATATATATCACTTGAACCAACCCCATTCATTCTAATCGGTCAATGCCTACTGCGTTGTCATCGATTTGAGTTGGACCCTCCTCTTGAACCTTAGAAAAAACTCCTGAACACGAGGCAAAGCAAGAGCTTCTTCATTGAAGTTCACCCACCAATACCATCATATCATGTCATCTATTTTCCATTATTTCTCAATCAGAGGCCCCCACTCTGTCCTATTTCTACGTCACTCCTGAAAAGTTCTAGTTCAAATAAATTACATATCCATCACTTTCAATTATTGGATTTCTCTAGTTTCCTTCATTAATTGTTTTTGAGAATAAACCAAATCAAATATAACATTTGGCAGAACACGTGCTTTGAATTTTCCAGTTGAATGAGAATTTAACTTGTGCATGAAAGATATAGTGGAAGCTCTGGTATCAATTGATATGAGTGGCCTTTATTCCAAACACTAGCTATATTAAGGTAGAAAATTCAGAGTCCATAAAAATCTCACATCACTTCAAGTCACATACTTTATAATTGATATGAAAGATATAGTGGAAGCTCTGGTATCAATTGATATGAGTGGCCTTTATTCCAAACACTAGCTATATTAAGGTAGAAAATTCAGAGTCCATAAAAATCTCACATCACTTCAAGTCACATACTTTATAATTGGATCGTAACACAATTCTAATCTCTTAGACATTATTGAAGTATATATAGAATGCAACCTCCTACCAGAATGAAACATGTATTGCACCTTCTTTTGTCTCCATTGATAAACGTTGGTACAAAAGTTCATACCCTCAATGCTATCTCATAATCATTTTAAATATCTAGAAGAACGGTAAAACACAATCAATCTAAACTTTTAAGATTTGCTAGTAATAGAGATTCAGAAGACAAATAGCCACTCTTGATAAACATAATGATCAATCATCACCTCATTCAATGAAAAATGACAAGTCAATTAATGCTTATAATTTCAAACCCACAAATGATGTAAGGGGTCCTGAAAATTGGTTTTAATCATAATGCATTGAGTAAGATGTTGGGGTCTGGGCTTTATAAAGTGTACATATATACTATAAGGGGTGCAATCGTAGTTCATGAACCCCCCCCAAAAAAAAAATTGACTCAAACAAATGTCATGACAGTCATATTGAAACAAACAATCATCAACGTCCACAGATTTTGGGGGCTTATTTCATGTTTAAGGTTAGCTTCATCAATTCGGGGGTTTTTGTCTGTTGAAGGTTCGATTCAGCATTTTGGGGATTTTATTTTTTAGGGTTCATATCAACCAAGAAACGATGTCGTGCTCTACTTTCCAAAGCTGGGAACCCATTTTCACAAAACGTCGTCGTTTGCCTATCCAAGGTGTCAACCGTCCAAGCCCCGCCATCACACTAACGTGCCACATTAGCACCGTTAGTTTGACCGTGACAGAGGAGTTGACAGAAGACTAACGTAGCCCTTTTTTTGTCATTTTAGGGACCAATTTGGTCCTTTTTTATTGTCAGGGACTAAAATGGATTTCGTGGATATTGCCAGGGACAAAAAATGGTGTTTACTCTATTCTTTCCTTTAAATAAAGGTTTGCTTGAGACTTTTATTTTGTAAAATAAAAAAAATATTTATCCCTTAAAAGGATAATTCTTTTAATTAAAGTAACATTTTTTGGAAAAGGTTATAGTTATTATTATTTTTTCTTACTACTTGTTACTAGTAAATTTTAACCGTTGATTTTCGTCAATCTAACAATTATAATTTATTGGGTCACATTTATTAATTAATTATTAATTCTAGTAAATTATAACCGTTAGATTGACGGAAATCAACGGTTAAGATTTGGTAATAACAAGTAGACAGAGGTGGCAAAGTGAGCGGCCCGCCCCGCCCTGCCCCGCTTTTGAAAGTGGGCTGAAAAACTCAGCCCACCCCGTTTGGCGGGTTGGCCCGCCAGCCCGAGCCTATTTTACACTGACCCGCCTCGGCCCGCCATCAACCCGTCAAAAAATGAGCCAGCCCCGCCCCGCCCCGCTTTTGAGATGGGTTGAAAAATTCAGCCTGCCCTGCCCCGTTTGGCGGGTTGGGCGGGTTAGCCGAACCCGTTTTGCCGGCTCTACAAGTAGTAAGAAAAGACGGGAGTAACTATAACCTCTCCCATATTTTTTATTTAAAATTTAAATTAAAAAAAACTCCCACTCTTTTTTTGCATGATTTTATTATTTATCTATATCTTTCTCTCATTTAAAATGATATTTTTTTAAAAAAATAAATACTAATTTTGCGGCCAAAAAATGGAACCGTCGCGGTTTCCTATTTTGGTAATAAAAAAATTGTTTGTCATTTTAAATGACACAATTTGTGTCATTTTACTCTCATAAAGAGGTGAGATTCACAACTTTTTTTTATTCACTCTCTCATTTTGATGATTTATCTCTTTTTCTCACTTAAAATGACACACACTTTTCTGAATATCCAACCGGATAAGCTTGCCATATGAGCGAGATTCGTTAATCATACCTTCGCTAGTGCATTAATCCCTCAATAAGTAATAATTATCTTTCTTATCCCTATTTTTTTCTATCTTATATAAATATTAATTATTATTATTTTCAAAATTAGTAATTAAATCATTTATTTAAATAAGAATTAATAGTGCATATAATTTTTATTTTATGATGCAATTTTAGGAATTTTTATAAATTTAAAATTGTTAAATTTAAATAATGTTAAATATTTTTGGGTCAATTTCCAAAAAAAAATTAATTTTTTTAGCAAGAAAGGAAAGTATTAAAAAAAATAATCAAACAATGACCTATAATTATTGATAGTAAATTTGATATAAATCGATTCTACCAAACAAAATTTGATATAAATCGATGGATAAATTTTGACTTTTCCAGTCAGCGAAAGAAATAAAAATTGTAAAAGTCAAAGTTGTAATGTGTTGGCATAATAATTTATAAGAAAAATGATTTATTTTCAATAATTTTATTTTTTTCATAGAATTTATTTTAAAATTGACCCACAAAATATATTTAAAATATATTAATTTTGATTCTTATTATTTTGAAATGATTTCTACATTGCATTAAAATATAATTAATTTAAGGTTGCGCATGCAAACTTAGTTCGACTATTGGTTGGAAACTAATTAAGGTTTAAATTTGAGAACCCTGCAGTAGAGACGACCAAGCAGACCACCACATTATTTCATCTTCAAATAATTTATTTATTTTTTTATATTTGGTAACATAATTTATTTTAAATGTATACTGATAGACAATAGAATAAAAATGGTTGATTGAATCAGGTGACAACTGATTGAGTTATTAGCCCTTTATTAATGAATGTATAGAATTAAATAATGAAAAAAATATTGTAATACCTTTTCTATATATTTAAGATGACGAAGTCATAGAAATTATTGATTTCTTTTCTTTTTTCCATAATATCTTGGTTTAGACGATTAGTAGGCAATACAAAATTCTTCTTACTGATCTGGTTATGCTGACACGTAAAGTTTATTAATTCCTTGCCTAATAAAGGTACATTGACACGTAACTTAACATTTCAATTCTTCTTACTGATCTGGTTACGTAGGTTTGATTCTTAGAAAAAATATAAAATTAAGATGAATTAATCATTGATTAATAAGTGTAACCCAATAATTTTTAATTATTAAATTGATAAAATTTAACAATTAAGATTTGGTTATAAAAATTTATAAGCAAAAACGAGATGAGATTGTAAATATAACGTAGTGAAAATAAAATAAAATAAATTTTAATTGGAAAAAGTTAAAAGTTGAAAAAGGTTTGATTATTCAAACACATATGATAAGGCATATACATAAAGCAGTCATCAGTTTGTAAAGGGTGGCGAATCAGACGGTGGTGGCAACAATACTAGCGGCGACGGTGGCTCTTCCGACGGCTCAGGATCATTAACAAAGCTATCCGGTGCCGGCGGCGTGGAGGTGAACGGAAATGGGTCTTGTGGATTATCTGGAATTTCAGGAACCACTGGAGGCGCCAAGAAAATATCTGGTGTCTGTGGCACTGTAAAAGATGGTGGTTCATCTGGCAACTCAGGAACAAAAGGTGGTGCAATGAAAATATCTGGTGTTTGTGGCATAGTAAAAGAAGGCGGTGTTGAAGCAAATGGTGTTGGTTCTTGTGGATTATCTGGGAGTGGAGGTGGGAAGAAAATGTCTGGTGTAGTTGGGGTTGATGGGAGTGGTGGTGAGAATGAGAATGGATCTACCGGTGGCTCAGGTGGAGTCCAAAATATGGGGACAAGTGGTGGTGCTGTGGCGGAACCATCTGAGGCAGGTGGTGGAATTGAAATGTCTGGTAACTGTGGTGGAGAATCGGTGATAATGGGAGGTGATAGCCATGGAAATGTTGGGACTTGTGGTAATGGAGGAGGAAGGACAAGGGGTGGTGGAATTATCAATGCTAATGGTGGTGGTGGTGGTGGTGAGGATAGGGATGGTGGTGGTGGTGATGGAACTAATGGTGGAGATGGTGGTGGTGACGACAATGTCAAAGGTGGCGGTGATGGTGACGGTGATGGTGATGGTAACGGGCAGCAAGGTGGAGCAGGTGGTGGTAATGGGCAGCATGGTCGAACAGGCGGTGGTGGACAAGTTGGTGGCGGTGGGGGTGGCGGTGGCGGACAGGCTGGTGGTGGTGGGGAAGGTGGCAAAGGTGGTGGAGAATATTGGACTAATGGAGGTGGAGATGGGATTCTTGGTGTGTAAGTTATTGGTGATGGAGGAGGAGATGTTACTAAGGGTGGAAGTGGAAGTGGTGGTGGATTTTGGCTAGGAGATATTGGTTTTGGTGTTTGATCAAAAGGGTTGTTAGGGGAAGGAAAAGTAGGGAAAGGCCAATGGCCACAGCAATCATATAGATAAAGGTAAAATGGATCACAGTTTGATCCTCTTGTCCTTTTTCCTCCTACCTTGTTTCTAGATCTTCTGTTTCTTGATCCTCTCAACTCTTGTTCATGTTTGTGTTGGTATTGAAGGGTGGTTCTGGTTTCAGCAAGAGACTCAATGAGCAAAAGAATTGCTAGTAGAGCCATAATCACTGTACTTGCTTTCATTGTTTCTTAGTTGACATTGTCAAACTTCAAGGTGTCTACTATAGTTTATATATTTTATACATTGTTAATTAATAACATTTTTATTTTCCACTATTTTTTTAGATTACTCTGTGTGTGTATAAATCTGTGTGGAAGGTTTAAATGCAGCGTGTACATTTAGAGAAGGAGTAAATAAGGAGTTAAGAACATGGGGGCAAGCATGGCCTGCAGCTAGGATTACGCATTTTAATATATCTGCTGTATATGGTATCATCATCCATGCGCTCTCTCTTATTGACACACATACACAAATCAAACGTGCGTCTTTCTTCTCTTCCTTTTCCTTCTGTATAGATCCAAGACTTGCAGGAGCTGATTGCTGTTGAACATTACAGCTACATAGTGAACAAGTGAATTAATGAATTAATAGAAGAGCTGCCTAGTTGTACGTGCCAACTTGACAAATTTGATTCTCCACTATTTCACTATTTCTCTTCAATGCCTTGATTAATATATTTGGAAATAATTTTATCACTCGGTATATAAAAATATACGAGACTTATGTAAAAAATAAAAATAAATATAAACTCCATAGACTTTATATATATATATATATATATATATATATATATATATATATATATATATATATAATTATGGGGTAGGATCCTTTGACACCGGTGTCAAATTTAAAGTTTGACACCTCATCTGAGAGTCGTTAGATCAAAAAAATCAATGGTGTCACATGCTTACAAATCAGAGTCGTAGATCTTTTTTGATCTAACGGCTCTTAGATAAGGTGTCAAACTTCAAAGTTAACACCAGTGTCAAATGATCCTACCTCTATATATATATATATATATATATATATATATATATATATATATATATATATATAAAATAAAACTTATCTCATGCAAGATAGCTTGTATAAGAAAAAATGTAAATATAACAACCGGTAAGCGTCCTAGTCCTTTGCGTGTCGAATCCTTATTCAAAGTATTTGCATGCATAGAAGCTTAGAGCATTTATCACACACCTAGCAAAAATTGACTGGATGAGTATTTGGATGCATGATAATTTTACACCGGTGTAAGAGTTAGAAATCTTACATTTATTCTTGAGCATTAATCCACTTGTATTCAATGACTCATATTACTAAAAAATTAAAGCCTTTAAATATAAGTGGGATCAACGATCAAGATTAAAAATATAACTTACACCAGTGTAAAATGATTTTAACCATATATATATATATATATGGAAAAAAAAATATTGTATTCAAATAAAATAATTACGCATTTAATGTTGTTTCGTAAAAAATTACACATCTACTGCACAATGTGACGCCAGTTTTGGGCGTCACATGTGACGCCCCATTGGGGCGTCTTATCCATGGGAGAGACGCCCCAATGGGGCGTCACATGTGTGACGCCCAGAACTTACGTCACATGTGTGCTCTATATATTTCCTCACCCCCTCCATTCAATTCACACCTCTTCTCTCACTCTTCATATCTCTCTTCTCCACCAACATTCCTTTATCTTTAATTTAGTATTTGAATTTTAGTTGTAATTCTTTAAAAATGAGCTCAAATCCTGATTCTGTTCGTGTTGTGTTATATTACAATGGTAGGAAGGTAGAAGGTCGACGAGGTGTCATATTCGAAGGTGAAAAAAGGCCGACACGTATCCAACGCAACACAACCATTGGCGAATTGCATCAAAGAATTCGGCATAAGTTAAGTCTTCAAGACAACCAATGTATCACTGAGATCACGACAAGGGTGTGGCAAGGTGATAAATACATTAGTTTGAAAGTGCTTGACGATGAAGACTTGGAGATGACAATGGAAGAATTTTGCAACCAATCAAGGACAGATTTTCTAGAGTTGTATGTCGACATCGTTGCAACGGAGAATGCTCCCATACCGGTGAGGTCAGTTTATTTAAATTCTCCCCGTCTTCCAGCTTCTCCTGCCGCTCATGCGTCTCCAGTTGGTATCTTTTCTGAGGGAGATGAAAATGATCCGACTTGGGAAATGCACGACGAAGATGACGATGAAAATATGGCAATGGAAGAACATCTTTTGGCGGAGGATGCTAGTGCTTCAGAAGGAGATGGATCTCGTGAGATGGGTGCGTCTGAAATTCCAATATTCCATCAACCAGTCGTCGCGCAAATGCCGCAGTTGAATGACGTTGCGTCTGCTCCGTTTGGTATTCCACAAGAAGGTAATTGTTCCCATTTGTATACTGCGTGAATAAATAACTGATTTAATGTTGCCTGAATTAGTAGTAAGTTCGTATTAAAAAATTATAATCCGCAATTGCAGGTGACACAGATGTTATTCCTTTTTGGGAAGGAATTCTGCATTATTCTTACATTGATTGGAGTTATCAGAGCGAACAAGAATCATGTACTGATGGAGACAGTCCAAATAGTAAAAAGAGAATAAAATTGTTTTACGCATGAGACTCAACAAACACTAAGGGAGCATTTGGTAAAGGAGAAATTTTTTTTACCAGAAAAATACAATTACTAAGAATATGATGGGAAAGTGAGTTTAGTAGAAAAGTTAAAAAAAATTGTTTGTTATGCCGAAATATTATCGAAAAAATTGGGTTAAATTTCCTGAGTTTATGTCTGATTGAAGATAAAACATTAATAGAAAAAATGGGATGAAATTACCAACTCTCTCTCTCCAACTTTCTTTTGGCACATTTTTTGAGAAGAGATATTTGTGTCTATTGCTTTTTTCCTACTTTTTGATTTGATGGGATAATAAGAATATCATCTTATAGGTGGTATTCTGAAATAGCAAATTTTTTTAATTTTAGATACAAACTGAGATTGCTTTACAAATTCAAATGATAAACAAATTTTTTAAAACCTGCTACCAAACATAGTCAACTAAAAAACCCATCTCAACTTTCATAGTCATCCAAAAAAACTATCGTAATTAGAGCCGGCAAAACGGGCTCAGCTCGGCGGGCCAACCCACCCCACCCGCCATACATCGCGGGGCGGGCCGAGTTTTTCAGTCCACTTTCAAAAGCTGAGCGAGATGGACTGACTCATTTTTTGGTGGGTTGATGGCGAGGCTGGGCGGGGCGGGCCGCCCACTTTGCGAGCAAAGTTTCTGTGGTCCCGGACCAGAAATCATTTGGTGGAACTGCGGTGAGAGAAAGGAAGAAAAGGTTGAGGAGAGAAGAGAGAAAAAAAACAAAAATAAATAAAAATTAATTACCACGGTGATTGTCGACCACGTTAAAAAATTTCCTCCACCTGTACTCGTAACAAACACACACAAGTCCAATTCTTATCCTCGGTACAATGCCCAAACCTTCTACCTGCAGGCCACCATTTAGAGTCTTCAGTCTTTAGAGTTCATGTGAAATCACATGTTCGAACCAAAAATATTCTAATTATTATTTTTCAAATCCCTTTCAAAACCATGGCCAGTATAATTATCGTAATACAGGTTACTAATTAGTATGGTTATCACAATTATATCTACACAAGTAAGGTTGTAAATGGGTTAGTGTTTATGGCCTAGCTTATATTAGGTCAATCTTAGTCTATTATAAATAGTAAAATAGAACGGGTCTAGGCTTTTAAAAAAATCTATGTCGAACTTATAAATCTACAGGCCGGCCTATATGATATTATTTATTTAAAATATAATAAATAAAACTATTATTTTAATAAATTTGAATAATAAAATAATATTATTTTTGTTATTATTTTAACTATTGAATGTTTAATATGCTTAAACAGGCTAATAGGCCTAGACCAAGATTATTATTTTTTAAATATAGGTCATATTATACTTATAATTTGGGATCTACATAGACTAATAGGTCTGATCTATTTAAACTAAAATTTAGCCTAACCTATTTACACCTATGTACACTACTATATTGACGCTTACCTTTGAGATCACAGAATGCTGGTCATCATCAATTAAATAAAAAATAAAAAATCTCGTTTCAGATAAAAGTACCTTACAAATGATTAATCATATAACATGATAAGTATCCGAACTTAAGAAAAAAAATTTCCGAAAACAAAAGGTTCACTTTCCATTTAAAAGAAAAAAGTGAAAAACTATAATTATTGGTTAAAAAATTAGTAACTATACAAGTGCATAACATATTATAAAATGATTAAAATTTTATTTTTTTAAATTTTTTATTAATAATTATAATTCCTTAATTTTTCTTCTAAATGCATTCTTTAATAGGCATTTGAATGATGAGATTTGATTTTCTCATGTTAAATGAGAATTCAATTCTCATGTTGTAGAGATAAAAAGCATGTGAGACCCAGGTGTTAGAAAAAATTATATGTAGGACCCATGTCAGCACGGAGATCGAAGGGTGTGTAGGAAAATTTGAATTCTCATGTTAAATGAGAATTATAAAACCATTGAATGATTTACTCTATTATTATTTCTTCCCCCAATATTTAGAGGAATTATTCCATACATCAGCAGGACGAAATCTTCCTCCATCAGCATTTTCACCCTTTAATTTACCTTTGTTTCACAATGGACTCATGACAAATAAAATCCAAGGGTCACTACACAGAAACCTCCTAGATGAAGAACTACATTCAATGAGGCGAAACAGAGAGGCTGATTTAGCACCGGCATTTGAGGAATAACAGATTGATCAGAACATGATCAGGATGAAATACAATTTATTCCCTGAATTATAGCCTTATATTAACTAATCCTTCCAATAACTAATTTTCCTGAAATTATATTAAGAGTAAATACCATTTTTCGTCCCTGACAATTTTCACGAAGTCCCTTTTGGTCTCCAACAATAAAAAAAGCTCATTTTGGTCCTTAATTTTACAAAAATAGGGTCACGTTTGTCCTTCCGTTAGTTGGCATCCAACGACCCGACTAACGGAGCACACGTGAAACGTTAGTTTGCTGAGTCACCATTAAGTATGCCAGCGTGGAAGTAATACGACGCCATTTTGAACATGCCTTATGTCTTCTTGGAGTTTTGAACAGCCGACCCTAGCATCAAAGGCCCTATTTGGTCCCTGACAAATTTATCAAGACCCTTTTTTCGTCCTTAACACTAAAAAAAGAAAGTCTGCAAAAATGCTTACCAAGGAGAACCTTTCACATATTTAACAGCCCAAACTCTCTCTAGTCCATAGTTCAGTGTGTTTTCAAGCCAGCAAAGTGGAGTCAATTATTTGATCAAATTCACTCCATGAAGAACAATATGTTATCAAATGAACTAGCACTTTCTATGATTGATAGTACCTATAAACTCAATGTGAATGAATGTAAAACAAGAAACCAAAGCGACAAAGCAACCATTATTGTCAAATTTAAAACCTCATCATTGAAGGAATACAAAAGACTGGAAGTATTGCACACAAGAAATCAGCATGCAAGGTCTATAGTCATTAAACTTAGAGAGAGGTTTAAGGTACTTTGTATGACATAAACATCAAGATGAACATGAATGAGATATGAGTAAATCATGACCAAAGATACGATAAATGTTGGAGTACTATACTGAACAAGTGAGTAAAGAAGTCATATAACCAGCAATTATACCTAACCGTAATCATGCTGTTGAGCGAAGCTAAAAAGGGTTTATTTATTTACATGAAAAGTTTATCAAAGATAAATAAATACTAGCATCCACTGAAAAGAGTAGCTATAAGTTGTTGCATTCCATATTCAAACTGTCCCATCGTAAGAACCAGTCAATAAATACTAGCATCCACTGAAAACATACTGCAGATACATTATGTTGCATGTCCTTCAAGCGTCTGAACACAGCTTTTGGTTTGGTAGTCCCACACTTGTTCAGCAGACGGTTGGCAATGCCCAACTAAAAGTTGCAAGTACAAATAATATATCAAATAACAGGCTCTACTTTATCTGTATGATCATCAAATCCAATAATTGGATAACACTTATCCCCACCAGTAAAGTAATCAACACAACTTACCCCTTTTCGATGGGCGTCCAATGTAAAATTTGGGTCAGGGGAACTTAGCCAAACATGTTTACAAAATATCATCATTCCTGAAACCATATAACTAGTTCAAGGCAATTAAAATAAAATGATCAACATGTCACATATGAAGAAACTCAACAAGATAAAGAGAAGATGATTGCAAAGAATTAGGAGGATATATAAGAGATCCTCCATAAAAATGAAAAAACAACAAAAATAGAGAAAAGAAAACATCAACGAAACAATGCTAGGCATTGGTATTCTTGACCTAACACACTCATCAAGGCCCCTACACCCCGTATTCATGTAAATAAATTATAAAATCATGTGTGCCTTCAAAATTACAGCTGAGCAATATCTTATACCTTTCAAATAGAAATCAATAAAGAAAGTCTGCAAAAATGCTTACCAAGGAGAACCTTTCACATATCTAACGGCCCAAACTCTCTCTAGTATAAGAAAAAATGAGAAAATGAGAAAATGTGCATGAGCTGTTTATTTTAAATGGATTTAGTACTTTAGTTACAGGGTTTACTAATCTTATGTTACATGAGATAGTACTCTCATGTACGTGACACAAATATGTGAGGTTCATAATTAAAATAAATAAATAAAATTAAAGCGAAATTCTATGGGTGTATAGCATAAGATAGTTTTCTTATGCAACATGAGACTATTATTTCCATTTAGTTATACTAAAATTTCTTTTAACTAAATCAAGTTATACAAACTTATAGTTGAAGCGGGTAAAGTACATTTGAACCATAAGTTTTACGTTATTTCCCGCAGAAAAAACAACTAGTATACCGGTAACAATGCTAAAAACGATTTCAATATGAAGTCAAATAACATTTCATAATGGAATAATAAAATCTGCTAAATCATTTGAACTCTCCATCCAACCTCGGATTGTCTTTCCACAATCTCAAGGTATTTGGATTATTGTAAAGCCCGTGCAACCTCCTAAATACAAATAAGGTTCAAGATGATAAAGGACAACATATTGAAACTTAATAATCCTCCTAACTTTCTACTCTCTAATATCCTCCACAAATACATACTTCACTCAAACAGTGTAATGCTGCCGAATTGTATCAATGTCAAGTCCCTTGAGTTTCACAACGGACTCGACATGTCCCTTCAATGTGTGAAGCTCCCTCAACCTATAAAACAAATGGACCAGATTGGTTTTAGTTTAGCTTTAACTAAGAACAATTGCAGATAAGCATTTACTAGACATTACCTTGCCACTTCAGCACGTTTCCTAGCCTGTTCTGCGATTTCAGACAATTCACGGTAGTTGTTGTTTTCATTAAATATTTGTGCTGCTTCAGGAGGATTCAGCCCATGCAGCGTGCGTTGAGCTGTAGCCCATTGTGCTTCTCGCTCTTCCTTTCCATAATCCTTCTTTGTTGTGAAAGCAGTCTGCATCATAGAGCACAAAAAATACATATGGTCAAAAGAGATATAGATTTGCCATTTATATGATATACCATTAAGTACACAACGTTGAAATGGCACCTTGTTCTCGGTAATATTATTCCATGCCTTGCCACTCAATGCATATCGAATGAAGAATTTAAGAATATCCAAGGGGATATAGAAAATGATGCTGTAGAGCCAAATAACACCAGCCCAACCCCATCCAATTCCTTTCATCCTTGCAAAGCCCCAGTTTGCATAGACAGCTATGATTGTGGCAATCTAAGAAAAAAAATATATTCAGAAAAACAAATGCAAGAATCGAGTAATTTGTTAGACCCAAGAGAAACAACGATAAATCATAAGGCTGTTATATTACAACTCACCAGCTGAGCTACTATAAAGGCAGTAACAAGCAAGAGACCAGGGCGTTCAACGAAAGACCAGCTCCTTGACCGAGTAACAAAGATGAGAGCCTGACTTACAATACTCACTTGAAGGTAAACAGCTGCTGTGAGCTCATCCTCGTTATACCTGATAGATCTGACACCAAATTTTTCCTGCCAATATTTTTGTACTTTTGGTTCAGCCGGAGTTAATATTTTAACAGTTTTTTTTAATTTATCTGCCGAAGTCTTCTTAAAGTAAGATTTATTCTTACCGAGAAGAAATCAGATGCATGAACAGCCCAGAAGAAGATAACAGTCATGATAGCAAGGTAGGTGCCAAGCACTATGCCTGTGGCAAAAATCTCATTCAGTTTCCATGAATCTGGCAAAGGAGACGGCTTCACTCTGTCCTTGGAAATGGTCATAATTGTCCCGTCATTTAGTATAGCAATGATCAAAACCATAAAAGGTGAGAAATCGAATTTCCAGATAAGAGCTAGCAGCATAAAGCCAAGTACGATTCGGATTGTAATAGATACAGCATAAATGGTGTAGTTCTTCATTCTCTGGAAAATGGCTCTGCTTGTCAAGACTGCACTCACAATCACGCTCAAACCAGGCTCTGTCAGGACTATGTCAGATGCACTTCTAGCTGCATCGGTTGCATCCGCCACTGCAATTCCAATATCTGCCTTTTTTAAGGCAGGAGCATCATTGACACCATCTCCAGTCATCCCACATATGTGTTTTTTATCTTGGAGTCTCTTCACAATCTCGTATTTGTGCTCTGCATTTGATATTAATTTATTAATTGAATAATGATTTTTGAATTTTAATCATAACAAAATTATGTCTCAATCAACGAAGTAAAATCCTCCTTTAAAATCAAAAAGAATATGCTTCAGTTTGTTTCTAGAAATAATTGCAGCACGTAATTATCAAATATTGAATTGTTAAGATCACCAATGTAATGTAAGGCTCGTCACATAAATTTTATAAACTGTAGATATATATATTTACCAGGAAAGACACCAGCAAAGCCATCAGCCTTCTCAATAAGCTCATCAACTGGAATCCCAGCAATAGACTCATCCTTGTGCTCGCCAAGGAGGGAGGAAGAAGGGTACATGTTACTCCCCATGCCAAGCCTGCGACCAGTCTCCTTGCCAATAGCTAGCTGATCACCTGTGATCATCTTAACGTTCACCCCAAGATGGAGAGCTCGGCGAATGGTCTCTGCACTGTCATGCCTAGGTGGGTCAAACAGAGGCAAGAGACCCACAAACGTCCATGGTCCTCCTGGACTCTCTTTTTTCTTCTCTGGAACTTCCTGATTGTAGATAATTAATAGCAAAACAACTTTATTCTCATTCATCATTGCTGGAAAGATTAGAACACTTGATGCACAAAGAACCACCACTCACTTGTTTGGCAACAGCAAGGGAACGGAGACCACGATCAGCAAATTTACCAATAATGGAATTAGCTTTCTTCTTCACATCTTCCCGGAGATTGCAAAGAGCTATTATCTGGAGAGAAATTCAATATGAGCTACACTAATGATGGGCATTGCCGCATTGTACAAGGAAACAAGAAACATCGATAACATCGATCTTTGCTATAATGACCCTAAATGGTAAATCTTAATTAGAGATTTTTTTTAAGGATTTAAATGCCATAATTAGATTCAGTGAGTGATTTCGAGTATTTTGACTGTAATCATGACTATGTTATGAACAGTGCGTTCTGTCGGAGAATTTACAGTTTTGTGAATTAACCGGTAGAGCTTAAAAGAGCAAAATAATTTTATAGACATAATTTGATAATTCTGATGACAAAAATGAGTTCAGAATGAAAAATTGTATAGTCTGGCACTTTCCGTGGAAATCTCGTGAATAGTGTTTCTACCGGGTATTTTGTACTGCTGTTTAAGCAACCGGTAGAGTCCAGAAACAAATAATTGATGAAGTAAGAATAAGAAAGTCCAATATATGCCAAGTAAGTCAATATAGGCCCAAGAAAATGATAAGTTTATAAGTGTTAAGTTTCAGAATTAAATAAAGTACAGTTAGTGGTTCACAGTGCATTTCGTTAAAAACGGTGCAAAAATCATACTGTGAATTATGAATATTGTTACTTAGGAAATAAAAATTAATTTAAATGACTTTAGAAAAATAAAAATATATCTGTAGCTTTAAGTTAAGTTCCGGGTCAATTAAGTAAAAATACGCGATAGAAAAACAACCGGGTAAAAAGGCCACAGGTGCTTAAAAGCTTAAGTGACTCAAATGAGCACTATTCAAAATCAGCTCTCTCTCCTCTCTTCCTCAAAGAAACCGAGCTGCACTTGGTGAAAAGGGGGGGTAGGGTTTGGTTCTTCATTTCTTTGATTCTCACTCAAAAGTTAACCAAATCACAAGTCCCACTACTTGAAATCGATGGGAAACCACCCAATGAGTCAATCCCACCCATTTATTTGAGCTATCATTGGTTGTGTGAGGAGATATTTCCTTCCCCAAATTCGTGTACTATTCATCAAGAGGGCAAAATGAAGTTTTTGATGGAGATTCTCTTGGTGTAGGCCTTCTAGGCTTTGGGTAGTTGATTTGAGGTAACAAACCTCTATTTCCATGATGTTGTTTTGATTATTTAAGTTATAAAATTGTGTATATGCCTTGGGTGGGAAAGCATGATGTGTTAAAATATGTATTGATAAGGAATAATTGATATTTTGATGTATGAAATGAAAAGAAGCTTTGTAAGTATGTAAAAAAATTAGAGAAAAATCATGTCTTTCCTCTCTATGTTCGGCCTTTGATAGGGTTAATAGGATTTATTGTGCCAATTTAGTTGATGCTTTAAGAGGGGTTTAATGTGTTCAAGTAAGTAGAATTTGAATGAATTAGTAAGAATATTACATTGGAAAGAAAATCCTTGGAAACATACCTTGATGTTTCGGCCTTGATGTGTGTTGAAGGACTTGGTGTCTAAACTCAAAATAGGAACCTAGTGGATGCATGCCTAGGTGTTTGCAAGTTGTAAGGAAGTAAAGAAAATGTATTGTAAAAGAGATGGATCTTTGGAAATTCCCTTATAGGATTTGACCTATAGGGTATTTAGGGATATATTTGTACATTTTATTTTAAATAAAATGTGTTGTAATTAATGGTATAAAGTGATAAGTTTTGAAGAACAATAGCATGATTGATGTTGAAAATTTCTAAGGGAATGTTTGATTAAATTAAAGAACATCAACGGTTATAAAGAGGTCTAGACTTGTGTATTGGCATAGCATTGGAAAAAAATATAAAGAAAAAAAGATAAGCGATAAAATGTATGCCTTATGGAAAATCTAGGCATGATAGCATTTTATTGATTTGTATTTGTGGATTCTTGCTCTAGGTGTACCTAGGGACTAAAAAGGATCGGAATCTCTTGAAGACATATAAGTAACTTGTGCAACAAGTAAGCGTATTGGTAAAGCTTCAAGATGTAAGCTCTATGTTTAAGGAGTCTTTTCCTGCTTGAGTGCTCCACCATGGTTAGTGAACTATGGTTGGACTGTATGACTGTGATTTAGATGCCTTGTATAGATGCATTCATATAGAGTTATTTGATAACATGATATGTTTTGCTCTGATATGACTTCTGTAATATGATTTCTGCAACAATCTCTCGCCATTGATTGTATAGTACCCGGACGTCCGCTTTGGGGTCCTCCCTCGGGACTGATGGTGTACGCCTCTGATATGTCTGGTTCCGCTTTGGGGTCCTCCCTCGGGAACACGTGCGTTGATTTCCGCTTGGGGTCCTCCCTTGGGAATGACGGCGCACATCTATGATATGATATGGATATATGCTCTGTTCTGTTATGATATCTGTTATATGTTGTATTCGTATACTTTGTATCTGACTTTCATGCAGGAGTGAGCCAGGGGTATGGAGAATTCTCTATAAACCTGGAGCTTATTGAGATTTGTAATCTCACCCCTCTTTGGGGACATATTTTCAGGTGCCCAGATTCACGGTGAGTCCTCACTAGGCAGAGACACGACACGTGGCCGAGGCAGTTGACAGATCGGATTTTGAGTGGCTGTAGGCTACTACCTTTTTGGAGTGTTTGATGTATTTTAGTATTTTCGCATTTTATGGATCATGATATTGATCCTTTATTTTGTATATGGCCTGTATATGTTTTGTACATGTCTGTCGCTTTGATGCATGTACATTTGGGTATTCAGGCACGTTATATGATGAGGTAATATTCAGATATGTTTACGTGTTGGATTGCATGCTGTTAGATATAGTGGCACTGAGCCAAGTTATGCATGCGCCCATGGATGGGCATTTGATTATATTTGTATAAACTGTTTATCAGGAAATGCTTTTGTGTGGGATTGGAAAATCCCTAGTTGTCCGATTTATAGAGGAAACTCTGCCCGATTTTCATTTACGACGAATGAGAATTTAAAAAGAAAAAAAAAGAAAAGTTAGCTCGTATTTTCAGAAGTTAAGTCTTCCGTTGTTTTCTGTTTTATCATATGTATGTTAATTGAACCGGCTCGAGACGGGGATGTTACACTTGCGCACTAAAAGATATATTTACCTGCTCCGGTGCCCCTTTGCTTACTCGGTGCCAATTGCCCATGGCGTCTATGTATGTAATGGCGGTACGCTTGTCCACTGGATTAAAGGGCAGGAAATGCAACTCTGTAATGCCATCTCTCGCCTGTAACAAGTATGAGAAAGTTTTCAACGCAGTTACAATCTATCAAAGACCAAAGATCCTGATAAATATAAAGTTTGATATGCTTTTTATGAGAGCCAACCAGGGAGATTTTACATGGCTTAAACCAAAGCCATTTACCAGGCCAACAAGAGATCTTTATGCATGCAAAATCTGACTATATCTTGTATCATATGCAGGTTTTACGCAGCATGCTCATACCCCGAACTTAGAAACTTATCCTACTTCGTATGTCATGATCATAAACGGGTCATAATCAATATTAACTCTCGTCAAAATGTTTAGAAGAATTCAAGAGAAGGAAAGCGAAATATAGAGATCTAATAATGTGATATGATTGCTTTTTTTGCATTCAAGATCCATGAAAATTCATGGATGAGTTTTAAATGGAAATACCAAACTGAGTCTACGGGTGATGCTTTGAACTTAACCCCTTTGAAAAATTATATTCAAAATTTTTTCCCAATTTGTGGTCCAGGTCCTAGTATTTGGTACTATCTAAGGTATACAGACAAGCAGCAACTAGCAAGCCAATATGTCATTGGAAAGAAATTGCAAACCTCCTTTGGATCACCCAACATTCCAACAATGCAAGCATCAATAGCATCTTGATTCTCTACCCTAGATGCTCTAGCTCCAAGCAAAATTACAGCGTCCTTGTCAGTATCTTTTGCAAAAACCTGCAACGTGGACAAATTACTCCCATTTTTAGTAAATCAGAACCATCCCAAATTCAAATTTGTTGGTTGAACATTAAATTGATGGATCCTAATTCATATATAATTGATCAATTTAAAAATCAATTGTTTGTCATCTACTTACCTCAACCAAGTTCTTATCTACTGTGAGCTTGTTCAGCGTTAGAGTGCCCGTCTTGTCACTGCATAAAACATCCATCCCAGCCATCTCCTCAATAGCCGTCATCCTCTTGGTGATAGCACCTTGTTGGGACAGCCGATGGGAACCAATAGCCATCGTTACTGACAAGACTGTTGGCATGGCAATAGGAATCCCTCCAATGAGAAGCACCAAGAGATTGTCAATTCCACTCCTATACTTGCGGCGCTGAATTGGGTACATGACAATAATCTCTATGATCATGCCCAAAGCGATAGAGCAAATGCAGAAGTTACCAATGGCTGTCAACACCTGACCAAGTCAAAACCATCAAATGCACATCAAACAAGTTGAATACACTACCCTGCCCTTGTAGAATTTGTTTAGACAATGCAAAGATTTTCACAACTCTGTAATAGAGAAGAGCAAGAGATAGTACCTTTTGAAAATGTCCTACTTGGTTAGTGCTGTCCACCAAGTGTGCAGCCTTCCCAAAGAAAGTGTGTACCCCAGTAGCGATTACGATAGCCTCAATCTCTCCTTGCTTTACTGTGGACCCAGAGAAGACTTCATCACCTGAATTCTTTGAAACAGGCAGCGATTCACCAGTAAGTGCAGACTGATCGATCTTGAGAGGATCTCCTTCCAAGAGACGAGCATCAGCTGGGACTATGTCTCCTAATTTGATGCTGATGATATCTCCTGGTACCAATATGGCAGCCTCCTCCTCAGTCCACCTTCCGTCTCTCAGGACCTTGTATCCATTCAAACAGAGAGTCAACGTAAAACATGTCAAGCCTACATTTATGTACGTGAATACCTGCAGGAGCAAGACCATAGCTTTTAAGGCATTTATACCTTGGTTTTGGGAGCAAGACCTGCCATGAGTGCCGCAGCAGCATTGCCTGCATTGTTTTCTTCTATAAAACTAATGGTGGAGTTGATAACAAGCAATGCCAGTATTCCCACAAAGTCCTGCCAATCTGGTGGCTTGCCCTGTATGTTTCAAGAAGGATGCAAATGAGAATGAAAAATGAGTTAAAAAGAAAATGAAAAGAGCAAATAGTATAACAGTGTAGGACTTTTTCCCCCTATTGCAGTTTTGTTTTTCCCTCTTGTGATCAAATGCATGCAAAGAGTTAAGAGTTGTTACCCCTCCATTTGCCAAAGCAATGGCCATGATAGCAGCCGCTTCCATGACCCATGACAGAGGGTTCCACATAAAGCCCAAGAATTTCAGCAACTTACTTTCCTGTTTTAAAAATTGTTTGACAAGGCTTAGTAAATAATTAAATGATCAGCACCATCCTCTCTACGCTGACACAAGCTGAAGGTAAAACATGTTTTGCAGTAATCCAAATAACAACTACCCAGATAGAGATAAATTCATTGCCTTCTTTTCTTCTAATTTGTTGGGGCCGAAAATTTCCAACCTTTTTCGGCCTTCCTCATTTGTGAGACCTTCTTTCGAACAGTTCAATTGTTCAAAGACTTGGTCCAGAGGTATTCGCTCCTGTAACACAAGCACGTATACATCACACATCCCCATCAACTTCGAAAACTTCCAGGTTAAAATAAAGCTTTGAAATAAAAGGGAAGTAATACATAAAATTCCAGATAACATGAAGAAGTGCTTCAAGTGCTTCAAGTCTGATTGCAAGATGTCTACCAAACTCATAAGACAATTATATTGGACAAAAAGACAAGCAAAATGCTCTATGGTAAAGAATGTTAAGTACTAAAATTCCAACAAAAGCAACAAATATATTTAGTGGGAATGTGAATATTTTCATGGATAGTGGGAACATGAAATAAAAAATAAACATAGAAAAAATTGGTGTAACAACTGTTAAATACAAAACGACAAAAACTCCCTTTACACATAGGAAAGGAGCAGATGAATAGAACTCCAATAAAAAAGATAAAATAAATTAAAAATAATCTAACCAAAAACTAAATGAATTTTATGGAATTGTATTCTTCCAATATAACATTATAAATTATGAAGCTTTACATTTTTTTTCGGAACACATCATGATAACACAAACCCAGGACACAATAGTTTGGTACTATTGCATGCGCCATGTGATTGGAAAATAACCTCTCTTGCAAATGCCAAATAACACTTCCTTGTATGGATCCTTCCTTAAACCCTAGCAACAGATGCTATTTTATTCAGGTGTAGCCGATCCCACTTAACAAGAGAATATTCGGTGGTTATATAAAAAAAACAAAAACAAATTATTTTATATTCACATAGCGGATCGAACGTAGAAATCAGATATTATGAACTGTACGACGTAAAAATTGATCATAATCGGTAATCTGAATCAGAAATCAAAAGCTGACAGCAAATTGAAAAAACGCAATTGATGAATTCAATCAAGGATCACAAATCATCACGTGGTAAATACGAAATCATAAATCAATCATATAGAAGCATTGTTACATATATATATACATATACAATTATCAGCTGCTTGTTAAAAAGATGCAAAAATAAATAAACACAAGCGTATATGAATTTTTTGAAATGATCAATGAGAATATATAGATATATAAACAAAATAATAATGAAATAGATGAAAACTTAAAAGGCGAAAGGAAACTGACAAGATCGACGTTCTCCTTCTTGAGTCTTTCGAGGTCCATAACTGATTAACAGAGAGAGAGAGAAGAGAGACTCTTTCTTTCAGAAAAAGTGCAGCTCCAAATGCATTTCTGAAACCTGCATTGCTTTATATACTAAACCACGTCAAAGGGAGGGAAACTCACTCTATCAGTGTGAATGAATTGTGCATGTAGTGTGCAATAGGGTTTCAGTGTCGTTTTTATATAAAAATTTAAAAAACGGCACAGCTGTAATGTGTGTTTCATTCACTCACTGTATATTATGAATATTAGTGATCTAGTGACAAGTAAAAGTTTCCCTGATTTAATGGGAAATAAAGATTCCAAATTCAAAATTCCAAATTACCAAATCAGGCGAATCAATAGCAATGCGACTCGTGTGGCTTTTTCTGATTCGCATTCATCCTGGTCATTCGTCACCGCTTCTTATTAGCAGCTTGTTATTGATATTTCTAATTCCCTTCACATTTCCCATATTGCCCCCCATATTTATTATTTTCTATTTATCCTTTATTATTGGATTCCATTTCTGTTATTTCCACACATATAGAGTTCACGTGACCATATTTGCACATTAAAAATTTTAAATTATTTTTGAATGATTTTTTAAAAATAATCCATAAAAACATATTTTGATATATTCTTTTGTTTTTTAATTTAAAAAATCAAAAAATAAAATTCTATCATGTGGATCGAAATATCCAATGTGATACAGGAGTGTTTGCGGTTTGGATTGGTTCGGTTTCGAAGCAAAAGTCATCTGATCTATTCTGTTTGGATCTTTTTTTCAAATTCGATACGCTCTAATCTAATTTTATTCGGTAGTTGGAGCGGTTTTTGATTTTTCAAAAAGTCTAAAATTTCAGCCACAAAAGTCATTAGCTATATCAGATTGAAGCCACCCAAAGTTAAAAAACACTAAAAATTTCAAATTTTCAAACTAAAATAAATTTTAAAACTTATGAAGAGTTAAAATAGAGTAATTGACTATAAAAAACTAAAATAGTTTGTTATTAATAACATCCAAAATTTCAAATATATAAAACAAGAAGATTTTCAAGTCACCATCTTTCTATCTTTCTCTTCGATACTTCATTCTTTCTGATAATTGGTATGTTTCTGTTGGATATGAATTAATGATAATTAAATTTTTTTATCTTTTTGGGAAAAACTTATTAATACAAAAATTAACTCTTAGGCCTTGATTTTTGGAATATTTACAAATTCAGAAGCATTAAATTTATTATCGTCAATCAGAAGTCTGTAATTATTGTTTTTGGTATTCAGTAATTTAAATAAAAAATTATATTATTTAATAATAATTCAGAATTCTATCATAGTTCCCGAGTTTTTTAAATCATTAATTATATAAAATACTATAAAATAAACGAATAAATTTATAAGGACTCAAAAAACCATAAAAAATATTTATTGTGTCAATTTTATTGGACAAAAAGAACAGCAAAATGCTCTACAGTAAAGAATGCTAATTACTGAAATTCCAAGAAGAGTAACAAATATATTTAGTGGGAATGTGAAAGTTTTCATGGATGATGGGACATAAATGAGAAACACCTGTTACATAGAAAACGACAAAAACTGCCTACACACAATTACACATAAGAAAGGAGGAAAATTTCTACTATACTGTCGTCCAACCCACTTTTACATATATCCCTCTAATAAAAATCAAACATCAATGTTGATATAATAACACATAAGAGAGAAAAATAGTGTGTTAAACACAGGTGTTTGATTGTAAGTGGCAGTAGCACATATAACAATAGTATGGAAAATGCGCCGGAAGAGGAGTAGATGAGTAGAACTCCAATAAAAAAAGATAAAATAAATTTAAAATTGTTCTATCATAGAAAAATGAAAATAGACGACCAGAGATTGATAATATTTATGTAAAATCTAAGGTCCTCTCTCAGTATTTATACGGGAGATACCTTAAAAAATAATGAATTACTGTACACTATAATAACGATATAGTCAAAGGATTAGGTGTGCGTATAGCAACAATCAAGTGAGTGAGGGTTTTGAGTGTGTGTAAGTTGACTTAACTCTTTATTTATAGACGAATTAACTGACCGCAGTAAATTTCTAAGTCTCTTAGAAATATTAAGAGTTTAATTCTTGATTCATTACTATATCATTATGATTGATATAATTAAGGAATAATTCTTTAATTTTCTTCTCTCATAACTGTTAATCCTCTGTATACCTTCTAAAAGGTGGGCCTTTATATCAGTTACATAACAAAAATAATCTTACCAAAAACAAAATGGATTTGTATTAAAAAAAAAAACCAAATGAATTTTATGGAATTGTATTAATCCAATATATGATATGATAAATTATGAATATTTACATTTTTCGGAACACATTATGATGACACAAACCCTTGACACGGTATTGTTGCCATGTGATCCGAAAATCATCAATTTGCAAATGCAAAATAACAACAGATGTTATTTTATTTTATTTTGTATAGAAAAGAAATTAAACAAACACAAACAAACTACCCAACATGGGCATTAATCTTGCTACAGTCCCAACAGGAGTTCTAAGCACCCCTCAGGAGCATGGCTATACCAGACAATATCCCAATCAACTATAGAGGCATGGCCAGCTAACCAATCAGCCACCCTGTTGGCCTCTCTATACACATGACCAATCTGAACCGCCCAGTCTTTCTCAAGCATTTCCTTAACTCTGAGCGACAGAACATAACGAGGATGGGAAGGCATACACCCATGAAGACTTATATCATGCGCATCCATCGAGTCAGTTTCCACCATTACCTGCTGGTACCCTTTCACCCAAGCCCATTCTAGCCCAATTAGAACACCCCATAATTCTGTCATCAACACATTGCCACAGCTTAATCTCCTTGAAAAACCAGACACCCAACTTCCATTGCAATTTCGGATGACCCCACCACAACTGAGTCTTGTACCCCTCTCAGAACATGCCCATCAGCATTAATCTTAATCCAGTTAGAAGGGGGAGCTTCCCACTGAGTCTTCCTTCTGTTTCTATCATCAACAAGTAACCCAGCTTTACAGTATAAGGACTCAGCCACAACAATATTTGTAACAACCGAATGGGAAGCAAACACCACCTCTGATGGGTTCCTCCACTCGTCATTAAAAACCCAATTATTCCTTTCCTTCCATAACAGCCAGCACACTACCCCAAAAAACCTCCTCCAATCTTTGTTCTGTTTTTTCCTACACAAATTCCTATCAACCCAATTACAAAAGTCTCCTTCCCAAAAATAGTTAGCCTCACTGCCTGGAAGACATAGCTGCCAAACACTCCTAGCCCAGCTGCATTCCCTGAAAATGTGGCTACAACTTTCCACAGCATATAAGCACCTGGGACATAAGGCATCCTCACAAAGATGTCTTTTAACTCTTTGCTCATTGGACAACAACTTTTCCCCAATAAGTAACCAGAGAAACGATTTAACCCTTTGAGGGCCCTCCCAATCCCAAGCAAGCATCCAATTTCTATTCTCAGACATGTCAGGCTGGCCAATCAATGAATTATAAGCAGACTTAATTGTAACTTTAGAAATTGGATGCTTGTAGAAGAATAGGTCCATAGCACCTTATCTTCACCAATTGCCATAGAAGGGGGTCTAACTTTAGAAATAGCTATAACAGCCTCCTCATCCAGGCAGTCCTTGAACATTTCCCACTGCCAGCCCCCCTCACTGTCAACACAGTCTGTCACCTTCCAAGTATTAGCCTCCTCTGGAATAGGTTCAACAATTCTCCCAATCAGCCTCCCCATCTCAGGTACCCACTTATCCCACCAAAACAAAGTTTGATTTCCATTACCAATATGGATTTTCACCCCATCCTGAACCTGGCTCCAGCTTTTGCAAACACCCCTCCAAGTATTAGAATTGCTTCTAGCTTCTTTCAGCATTGGAACTAAACCCGAATCCACCTTGTATTTACTTCTAAGGATTCTGGCCCAAAGAGCATCAGAGTTAGTCATCACCCCAAACCCAATCTTCATGGCATAAGCCTTATTAATCAGACTTTGGTCTCTCAAACCGAGTCCTCCCTCCTCCTTTCTCCTGCAAATATTGTTCCAGCTAACCAAATGAACCTTTCTCTTATTCGGATTTGAACCCCAAATGAATCTTCTAGTCAACTTCTCCACCTCCTTACAAGTACTAGAGGGGACATCAATGGTCTGCATAGCATAAGCTGGAAGTGCCTCCAGCACTGATTTAGCCAGTGTGACCCTCCCTACCAGAGAGAGGACAGCCTGACTCCAAGATGACATCCTGCACTGCACCCTCTCTACCATATAATTCAAGGACTTCCTAGACACTCTTTTGTGATCGAGATTCACCCCAAGATACTTCCCCAGGTCATTAGTGACACCCACTCCAAGGCACTCACTAATCTCTTTAGCTCTATTGAAGCCCACATTACTAGAAAAACACACTCTAGATTTCTCCTCACTGATTTTCTGTCCAGAAGCAGCAGAAAACACCTTGAGGACTTGATTAATAACATAAGCTTGGTCCAGGGAAGCCTCTGCATACAGAATAATGTCATCAGCAAAAAATAAATGGGAAAGAGGAGGAGCATTTTTATTAACCATAACAGGCTTCCAGGCTTTGGTATCCACAGCTAATTGGATAAGATGAGCCAATTTCTCCATACACAGCACAAAAAGGTATGGAGAAATGGGATCTCCCTGCCTAATCCCTCTCTTAGGCTTAAACTCTTTTGTCAGTCCCACATTCCATAATAAGTTCATTGAGCTAGAAGAGATGCAATTCAGAATCAAATCAGACAGCTGCTTCCGAAGACCCAGATCCTCCAAAGTGTCTTCAATAAATTTCCAACTAAGACGATCATAAGCCTTCTCCAAGTCCCCTTAATCATCATCCATCCTTTACCCCATTTCTTCTCTTTCATGGAATGCACCATTTCTTGTGCAATAATAATATTATCAGCACTCTGTCTTCCTTTGATGAAACTACACTGGTTAGGAGCCACCAACATGGGCATAAAATCCCTCAGTCTATCAGTTATGATCTTAGTCACTGCCTTATACACCACATTGCAAAGACTTATAGGCCGAAAATCTTTCATGCATTCTGGGCTGTCCTTCTTGGGAATGAGACAAATCAAAGACATGTTTATTTCCTTGGCTTTCCCAGGATCCATAAAGATATCCACAATTAACCTACACACAGACTCCCCCACCAACTTCCAGTGACTTTGGAAAAAAAAAGCTTGCAGCCCATCAGGCCCAGGAGCCTTAAACTTTCCCATTCTAAAGATCACTCTCCGGATTTCCTCAAAAGTGGGGATTTTAGCCATGTAATCCAGCTCCTTATTTTTTAGAGCAGGAAATAAACCTTTCACTGGAAATTCCTCTACCTCTACATCACTCGGAGCAAACAACTTCTCAAAATAACAACTTGCTAAAGTACTG